TCGAACGCGTTTTTGGCCCCGTCAGACACTATGAAGGTGCCAAAACGGTACTAGCGGCTAAACGCCGGAAAACGGCGTTGCGGAGGGCGGTCGAGCTGGTGTATACTTCATTTGATGGGCGATGCCCCAAAGACAGTGTGACTTTCGTGGGGCCCGCTGTTTGTCGTGTGATTCTAACCTTGAATGGTATGGTTCAGGTTAGAATCACGATGTCACTGTTTGCCTTTTTACACCAGCTCTTTGTACTTATCCTGCTGTCTTCACTCCCACGCACTAACCTCGCCACTACACGTGAGTTGGCCCGTTATCCTGGGCCTCGTAACGCGGAAGATGCTCTTTTGAACGAATTAAAATTCGCGAGATATCGCACACACGTACACACTCCTCAGCGGCGGAGTAGAGCGGTTGTTTCTCAGTTTTTAAGTAAAATCAAACCAGCTTCAAGATACGATTCTAGTTTTTTGCATAAAACAGTAGCGTTATTGTGACCTTTCATGATACATTTGCATGTATCAACACGCATATCAATATCTCAGTCTGTCTTCGGGAAATGTAAGGTGGACTATCAAAAATGGTCGAGTCAGAGTCTTATATACTAAATGACGTAGAAAATAATTATTATTAATTAAATATATAACATAGAAAAAATAACACCGACTAGGAGTGCTGTAATGTTGACCATACTTTTACAAGTTATACGAGCCCCTTCCCACTTCAGTTGGCCCATTTCAAGATTTGTACCAAAATATGCCTTTATAAACTAAACATGACGAAACTATTTACTTCTAAAACAATTTATTTTCTCAAAAACATTTTAGATACACTCTAGTCGTAAGAAATACATATTTGAAATCACTTAGACCTATAAATAATAGAACATCTGAACAAATAAACAATGTGCGAATAAATGCGCGAAGTTAACAAAGCAACAATTGAAAGATTCCCATTGGGTAACATCACCTTTATTTTTTATTTCGGCTGAAATTCGTTGGGGCATAGTGTTAACCAAGTTTTGGCAAAAATTTGGTGCAAAACAATCCCATATTTCTTGAAGCTTTTGTCTCAGTTCGGTGATTGTACGAGCATGATGTTGTCGTAGAACCTTTTTCATCTCGTGCCACAAAGTTTCAATAGGTGACAGATCTGGACTGCTAGAAACCCATTTCAAAAGTGGTACATTATTTTCGTCCATCCATTTTATAGCCTTTTTTGAGGTATGGCGCGCTGCACCATCTTGCTGAAACACAAAATCTTGGCCGGATGTCAAACATTCTTCCATCACTGGTAAAAGCGATTCTTCTAAAATTGCCAAATATTTGTTTGTATCTACATTTCCATCAATAAAATGAAGTTTTCCTACTCCTTTTGATGACATACTGCCCCAGACCATATTGGATGCTGTAAATTTCACTTTTCTCTTCAGACAGTCAACATGGAATGCTAATTTTTTTTGCGAATAACTCTACTGCGACTGTCACCAACACAAACTTCGAATCGGGCCTCATCACTCCATTGTATTGCACACCATTGTTGAGGTGTCCATTGTCTATGTTCTTTAGCCCATCTAAGCCGATTTTTCTTTTGCAGTGGAGTTAATAGTGGCTTTTCTTTGGCCTATAAACAAGTTGTGCAACTTTAGGGTTTTTACTTCACTTTTTTTTATAAGAAAACGTACCTTGCAAGTGCTAAATCCCAGTTTGTGGGCCTCTCTATGAACTGTTTACCTCGAAATTCTCCTTCCAACAGCGTCACTCCACAGAGCACTTAATTGTAAATAATTGGCAGGCCTGTTTTTCACGATTATTCTTATTAATGTTCTTCGGTCGGCATTCGTGATATTACTTTTTTTCTCATATCCTGGCTTAATATTAACTGAACCAGTTACGTTATATCTTCTAACAATATTTCTCACACTGTACCGTGATAAGTCTAACAAAGTTGCAATTTCTGAGTTTGATTTCCCAGAATTAAAAAAATTAATCATCAGTAACCGAATTTTCTCACTAATAACCTTTCCTCTACCCATTTTGAAAACCTTAACTACCCAAAACTATTTTATACGTATTCTGACAGCTGTGATTAATAAAAACAATTGTCATGCTTTTATTTTTCACAGCCACCTATGCGTTATAGACTTATTTTGCATTGAAATGAAAATAGGTTGATATGCTGTAATTGCTACATGTGTTATTTTTATGCTGCAAATTTGATTAGGGAGTGTATAGTTGGTGTTTTCTACTATACATTATCAAAATATTCATTGTTAATATTTTTAAACTATAACACCCTGCTACATCTTTATTATTTGTGTTTGATAAGAAAAAAACTAAGATTTCAATAGTTGGGCCAACTGAAGTGGGAAGGGGCTCGTAGGTCTACTGACAAATAGAAAGTGATTAAAAGTTTAACTCGAAATTTCGCAAAATAGCTGAGATATCCCACCTTGATGTTACTAATGTGTTGAAGCTCCTCTGTTCACTACACATTCGTTAAGTCGTCGCGGCATTGATTGGATTAAGTGATTCTTGGTGTATTGTGTCGTAGGCCATCTGCATTCGGTATTCATAGAGCCTCCAATATTTGTGGAGGATGACGTGAATTTTGCAACCTTCTTCTCATCATGTCCCATACACATTCGATGGGGGAAAGGTTTTTAGATGGAGGAGGCCACTTATGCAGATTTATTCTGAACGCTTCTAAAAGCAGATGTGGTTGTAAAACATCGTGGATATACCGCTGGGCAGTCATGCTACCTCGAGTGAACACTAATCGTGACCTGCTGCCATAGATTTAAAAAATGTCCACCGTGATACATTACTTGATTTATTGTAGATGTCAACGTTTGAAGATATTTTATTCATGCATAACATTGATAGAAAGGTGTCCTACTTTAACAAAATCATTATCAATATTTTGACGTGATTGCACCCTTGAAAAATGCCACATATAGTAAGCCCCAAGCCTCCATGGATTACGGAAATGATTGTACTAATGATGGACATGCGTGATAAAGTTCTTTCTAAGTTCAGGTCTACTGGAAAACAAAGATACTGGGAATCTTACAAAGAGTTAAAGAACCTAACTACCACCGCTGTAAGAAATAAGAAAACGTCCTATTTTAGCTTCTGTGTTGATGAAACGAACCAAAACTCACTTTTACTATGGAAGAGAGTTAAAGTTTTGGATATTTGTGAAAAATCGAATAACAAAGGCAGCATTCCTGGCGAATTAAATGATCCGTATAAAATTAATGACCACTTCTTAACCACTTCCAATTTATCGCAGCCTGACAATGATGAACTAAATTTTTATAGCAACAACCGTTTCTTAGAATTCCCGAATTATTTCCATTTTCCTTGGTAACTGAAGGAATCGTGCTTAAATATTTAAACGAAGTAACAACAAATGCTGTTGGTATTGATCAGATTAGCATTAAAATGTTTACTTTTATGCTGTCCATATATATTGCCTATTCTAACACACATCATGTGTACTAGAAAGTGTTTTTCCCTTATGCATGGAAAACATCAAAAGTTGTTCCAATTCTTATCTTAGACCCATTTCAATTGTACCTGTATTTTCAGACGTTCTAGAAAAAATAAGGAAGTGTCAGATAAACTCGCATTAAAGTAAATTCAATATACTGCCAGTCAGGATTCCAGGAAGGTTTCAGTTGTACCACTTCGCTACTAGGTGTAACAGATGAAATCTTGTCGGACTTAGATCATGGAAAATCTACAGCTTTAGTTCTTCTAGACTATAGTAAAGCATTTGACACTATAAATCATAAAATTTTATTTTCAATATTTCATTTTATCGGATGTTCCGAATCTGTTGTTTCATTACTCACCATCAGTTATTTATCCAGTCGTTATCAATTTGTGGAAACATCTAAACATACATCCAGTGTTCGTAAGATTGGTTGTGGTGTGCCACAAGGTTCAATTTTGGGTCCTATACTTTTCCAAATATATTCTTCTAATATAACTAAAGCTTTAAATAAATGTTCCCCTCATTTGTATGCAGACGATACACAGATAAAATTTTCTTTTGACCACCTCAGCTCAGCTGCTGCAAATGATGAGCTTAATATGGAATTGGATAGACTTCACTCTGAATCTCTGTCACATCAACTTACCATTAACCCATCTAAATCTGCCATTATGATATTTGGTAAACAAAAAGCTACTTTGCAAGATAACTTTACTGTCAGAATGGGTAACAGTACAATTAAGAATGTCAAAGTAGCAAAGAACCTAGGTTTGGAAATGGATAACGAATTGAGATTCTCTGATTACGTAAAAAATGCATTCAAAGGACAGTTTTGGTTCCCACATCGCCATATTCTACCAACTAGATTAAAGATTATTCTCACTGACCTTCTAGTTTTGTCCCTATTCCATTACTGGGATGTCGTGTATGGACCCTGTTTAACGAAGATGGATTGCGGACGAATTCAGAAAATCCAAAAGTCGTGTCGCAGGTTTATTTTTGGCAGCCGCAAGTTTGACAGGGTATCACACAAGCCAGAGGAAATTGGTTGGCTCAATATGGCTTCCAGAAGAAAATTTCATTCAGCAGCATTATTCCATAAAATTTTTTCTACCAAAATGCGCATCTGCGAACTCTAGGCATGATAATGCAATGAGACAACAATGAAACTAACACAGAAAAATCACTGAATATTAAGTAAACATGTTCATATTGTTCGGATCCTGATATGACAAAAAAAGCTTTTACAAAAAAAGTACGGCTCGCAATGCCTTCAACATTTAATCATCGTATACTTCCATGATAGCAAATATATGTTTTCAAGTTTTTATCAAAATTCAATAAATAATTCTGGGTGTCACTTAGTATATTTGAATGTGCTGAATCTGCCCTTCATTGTTCCTGACCTCCTGTATTCTCTTCAATTAACCAAAATTGAGGGGATAGTAAAACATTGTGCATAATCTAAGTTCCAAGAATAACAAAGGTTTCTTATGTGGTTGATGCAGATCCAGGGGCAAGGATTGCAGAATATCGGATAAGGGCACTGTTAGAAGTTCCACTAAAGATAAATCGAGAGATTCACGAGATAGGGACAGCAGACGAGACAGAGAAAGAGACAGGGAAAAGGAAAGAGAAGAAGCGCTTGCAAGGTAATCCAAAACCAGCATTAGACTAGTCTTTTTTAAACAGGTGAAAGCTTTTATAGTCACTCTCAGGCAAAAAATCTTGATAGATTCTGTCTGTCAGCCTTTCCTGATTCTCCAGAAATGACACTCACTAAAGCCCGTCAGCCGTTCGCCATGCATCCGAACACATTACGCGCATTACAGCATTTCACCATGGTGGGTAGAGTCGAGCTAAAATGTATACCAGAAGTGTTCGTCTTAACCCGTTATGTCATATGGCAGTGTCATCCCTGCCGGACGGATGGACAAGCACCTGTGTCCTCTAACAGGACAAGAGGTGCTCAGAAATGCGAACTGTGGGGGGACCATCCAGCGAATAGTATTACCCGTAGTTTCAATCTTAGGGGAAATCTACAAGTCATCGAGCAAAGTCAAAGGCGGACGTAGTAAGAGAGGATACCTTAGTTGCTCCTGCTGTTTCGAGTTCATTTTCGACTGCTTATAATGTGGACCTAGCAACAACGCTCAGGTCCTTGCAGTAGATAATTAGTCCTTTGATAAGCGCCACTCAGGCCTTACATGCGATCTTATATCCTGCATTTTGTTCGTTTGTTAAAGATTTATTTAGCATTAATGCTGCAATGTCAGTTTTGTATTATTATTCGTTTACATATTTTTTTTAATTCATTTTCTGTAATTTTACATTCTTTTCTATTAAAATTGCATCACTATGCACTTGGAGTATTCATGAAATGATTTTTTAATTTCACGTTAAACATTTTTAAATTCGAACACTGTTTAATATCATTATTCAATTTATTAAATTCAAATACTCTTTTGAAATACAGATTTGCTAGTTATGCTACCATTACAATTTTGCAGATGAAAATCTATACTGCCTGTAGTTTCGTAGTTATGATAATGACTATTTAATTTTATGAAGTTTTTTAAATGTGGTGCTAATAAATGATTTTTGAAAACTAGAACTAAATAACAAATTTTTCACATTCAACGACTGTAGTAACATACACGTAGACTTAATCCTAGCATATTTGTTTTCAATTAAAATGATGATGATTATTTATTTTATAGAATTTGTAATTTTGAAAATGGGGGAAAATTATAGTGTTATACACAATTTTTTTTTCTGGAGTACATACTAAGATCATGGGAAACTCTATTGAAGTAATTTATCTTTTTTTATATTTTTGAAATAATGTATTCATAATACTCGTGAAACAGTAGTGTAGTATCCACATACACCTTGGGAAAAAAACATTATTATACATTATGATGAGGAAGAGAGATGGGAATATACAAAAGTATGTAGGTGCGTGAAAGACACTCGATTGTAGGATCCTATGTGGCAGCGTCGGAGTGTGACGAACAACGGGGTAAAGTAGAAGAGTGATAAAAGAGAGAGATGGCAGAACGGGCGCTGGCGCCTACCGCTTAGACGGATGCGCTCAACAAATACGATTTGTTTCTCCCATTCGCAGAGTTGCCGATACCAATATGTCATATTTCTAAGAAATCTAAGTCTACCCAAATTTCGGGAAAAATAGCTGCGGATTCCACATAAGAGTATTCCAAAAATGAAAAAAGTACAAACTATTAAAATTGTATTAATGTTTCATGGTTCAAATCATATTTTTCATGTTTGTATATTGTTGTATAAATGATTTTGTAATCCCTATTCTTGTTGCCAGTAGAGATACAACAGTATTGAGAGAAATCATGGACCGCTAGATAGGGCTACAACTACCATATGACTATCAAATAGTAGTGATAAACAGGGTTTGTTTATAGCACAGTTGCCTGGTGTGGCGAATTTGCGCCATAGGGGCGATTTGACAACTTTGAAGGACAACTATAACGGTTACTATGGTGCCCGGTATTCGGGAATCTGGCAATACCTGATGATTCCTAACGTTTATTACGCCAGATTGTTTGCTGACTTGCGCAGTACAACATGTCAATCAACGTGACTGAGCACCTGGTAACCCTGGTTTAAGGTGTTATATTTAAAGAGCTTGGGGCAGTTAGGTATCTAGGTCACATTTTTTAATGTATTTCGAGAAATCCGTAATGTTGAGTAAATACTAGATCACGTTTCTTGCTTAGTTTGCTGAAAATTCTACAATAGACGTACATTTTGAGAAACAGAGATTTGGTGACGACAAAATCGTAAAAATATAACGCATTTTCGTAAAATAATTTCTTTGTTGAAAAGACTGTGGCTTGATGACCCATTGAACGAGTATAGTGTCCCGCTCCGCTTTGAATATTCGAATCACTATACTCCAGCAGCATTCAGCTTCAATGTTATCTTTATGAAGTTCTAACGTCTAGGTCATGCTGATTAAAAGCTTGAATGAATCAACACTTAACTCTAAATTCCCCACAATTCGGGAAGCTCTACTCAAATTGGCAACACAGCGTATCTGCCTATTATTCTCATTCGTGATACAGGTCTGCGGTTAACGGTACGAAATATGTACGAATAGCGATGGAAGTAGACGAGCCGATGCGCTGTTGCCAAGAAATGATTTCCCATGTATAACAATGGTTTTTCCTAAGGTGTATATACCCAGATATTTAAATGATTCGACTTCCTCAATTTTTTCATCATCAATCATGAGCCTAGTTGTATTGTCACCTAAATGTTTCCCTATTGACACACATTTTGTTTTATTAGTCTTTAATTCTAGTTTATTAACATTTAACCAATTCATAATTATTCTTTCTCCAAATAGAAGGACTGGATTATCTAAAATGCGTTTCGAAGACGACGTAGTGGCAGGAAAAATAATTATAGCAGGCAGAATGAACACTTATTTTATAGACAGTGTAAATCAAATAGTGAAGACGATTGATGACGGTGATTCAGTTATGTCCATTACAAGTATATCATAATTCATCAATGAATCAACTTAGGGCAATAAACAGCAACAATCAAAGAAAAGCTATATCAGAGTTGAAATTTAATAAACATCCAAGTGAGAATTTCTCAAAAAAGATTCGAAATGATTGTTTCAATATAATTGGAGAGAAATTATTATTATTGGTGAATCACTGTTTAGTACGAGGTGAATTCCCATCAAAATTAAAGTGTTCCACCATTACTCATGTGCCAAAAATTTATTCTGACCTTTATTCAAATATGCAACCGATTAATGTCTTCCCAGATGTAGAGAAGCTGTCCAAAGGGATAATATACGAACAAGTCATTGGAATTTATTGAAAACAAAATTTTGACAAAAAATCAAGCTGGAAAAAAATATTCTACAGAAACAGCAATCCAAATGGTGGTGGAAGACTGGAGAAGTATAAATGAGAAAGATTGTATTGTAACAGTATTTCTAGACTTCAAAAGGGCATTTGAGACTATAGATGGAAAAGTTGTTAATGAAATTGCATCACTATGGTTATGGTATGAAGGATCAGTACTAAACGTTTTACAAAATTATTTAATAAATAGTAGTAAAAAACTAAGGTTGGAAATATTATGTCAGGCTTTCAAAATATATCAGTAGCGGTGCCACATGGGAGTAAATTAGGGCTGTTGCTAATTATTATTTATATAACATGAATGATATCTGTGACATTTTAGAACACTGCAAAAATTGATATCTATAGCACATAAGCATTTGGACACTGCTTTAGAACTGTTAAATAGTGAAGTAGTTGTCGGCATTATTGATAATTTCTGGTATATTGTGTTGTAAAAGCGCTTCTCGTAACTTTGTGAAATCAATTACTGTAATTTCTTTCATTTTATTTTCATTGAACATATTTTCCACTTCGAAATATGTCCATGAGTGATCACTTATTTTTGGGGTAAGCTTAACTTCAGCAATTAGATTTTGTTCATTACTTATGATCAAATCTATTTTTGTATTCGAAAAGTTCGTAATGCTTGTATAGTCATAATCCATGGAACTTTAGTACTTGTTTAAATTTTCTAACATTGAAAGCTGTTAGGTAATAGAAATTATCAACAACAACTGTGTCATAATAAACTCAGTTCGCATTCGCATTGTCTTAGAGCACAAATCACATTATGCGAACTGGTGGAATAAAGTACGTAATCGTCAGATTTTTAACAAACATATTTCAGATGAAAACGAAACCTCTCAGATAGGAAATATATTTATCTCGGTCTATCCAAAACAATAATTTTAATATCATTGCAAGGTGTCAGGAGCGACAGCGTGAACGTGAGCGACTGAAAAAAGAAGAAGAAAGGCGAGGTAGAGACAGGCATAGGGATGACAGAGGATTAGAAAAGCCATCAGGTTAGTACTGATTCGGTCACTTTTTATATTCTTCCTTAGATATTGACTTTACTGAGTACGATCCTTAGTTTGTTCAGAGGAAATACATCGATATAGAAATTATTAATTACCATAGATGAAATATCAAACGTGAGTATACTCTGGAGCAAATATTCATATTTCCCTGATTCTGAATTTACAAATACGCCCTGAAGAAAGAACAATTTGACAGCATCTACGAAATTCAGCCACCATTATGCAGAAAGGTCATGATATACATCGACAAAAGAGTGCGTATGTGCCAGCAAAGCCGTGGAGGCCATTTGCCCGATGTGATATTCCATAATTAACCCCATCCTAAGTACTTAATGGTTCAATAAAAAATAACATTCTAAAGACTTAAAACTGTGTTTTCTATTTAATTCAAAACTTGCATTAATTTTGGGACACCCTGTATAAGCATAATATTGGTCTTCTCTTGGAATGATATAAGCATCGTTGTATAGTGCGCTTTTTCAATTTCATGAGATGATTTGAAGTTAATAAAAACAATGTAAAGATAGATATACTCACATAGCGGCTTCATCGCAGCCACCCAAACGTATGATGCGGCGCATAGCGCAATGTAACTAACTCAAGAAAACTACATTATTGAATATCTGACGTTGCCAATTTTATTTGAGTTTTATTTGTTTGTTTAAGATTTACTTTTCATTTGTATCTCTAAGAATTTTCACTGACCATGAAATAATCGTCTAATTTTCTTTTAAACATATTTAAATTACTTAGTTTATTAAATTCAAGTAATCCTTTCTGAAATATTGATTTGCTAGTTATATGACTATTGCAATTTTGTAAATGAAAATATATATTTCTTCTTGTATAATAATTGTGGTAATGATTATTCAATTCTATGTAGTGTTCTAAATGTTGCGGCAAAATATGATTGTTTATTTTAAATATAAAAATAAGAACCAAATATGATACGACATTTTCTATATTCACCCACTGCAATTCTTGTAACAGATTTTTATTCAATATTATTCTTATAGCTTTATTTTGCAGGACTTGCAATTTTGAGAAAACAACTTAATTGGCAGTGAACAAGGTAGTTGAAAAATGTAGTAAATGCGGTAGAATAATTGTATTATAAACTATTTTTTTGGAATATGTACTAAGACTGTGCGAAGCCCTATAAAAGTGATTTGTTTTTTTTGCAATTTTTGAAATAATGTATTCATAGTGATTCTAAAACTTTAGTTTACTGTCAATATATACAGGGTGTTTCAAATTCGACCCTCACCATTGGTATCTCGGAAACCGTAAGACATACGAACTCGCTTAAATAGGGGCAAAGTTGCGGTAATGAAAAATATGCCGCTTAGAAAGTTTCGAAATTCATAGTACTTCGGGAGAGAGTCGAAAAAAACGAGTTTTCCCAAATTTGTAATTAGTTTTTTTTACTTTATTTTTAGTGGGATTTCAAAATAAATCTATGACCTATGAATGTAATTTGTTTTTTTTCTTTTGGCAATTTTTGAAATAATGTATTCATAGTGATCCTCATTTTGTTTACTGTGAATATAGATAAATATTTAATTGATTCAACATTTTCAATTATTTCAGCATTTATCCTGTGATAGTACATATTTTCATTTAGGTATTAGCATACATTTTGTTTTGCAAGCATTCAATTTTAATTTATTTAAATTTAATCAGTCTATGATTTTTATCAAACCAGAATTTAGCATTTTTAAAGCCGTACCTATATTTTCGTCTGATTTGTATATTAATGCATCGTCTGCAAACATCTGAATTTTACAGTAATCCAAAATTTTACAATTGTCATTAATGTATAAAATAAATAGTAGTGGACCTAGCTTACTATCTTGTGGTACACCAGCAGAAATATTTTTTGAGCTTGATAATGTAGATCCAATTTTGGTTTTTTGACTTCTGTCAATAAAACAGTTTTGTAGAATTTTGAATACAGGTCCTTTAAATCCGTAGTGATGCAATTTTGTAAGTAATTTATCCCTGTCAATTGTTTCAAACGCCATTTTGAAGCCCAAAAACATTGTCACTGTTTGTTTCCAATTGTCCATACATATTTTCCTTTAGCGATTTAGTCAAGTTCATGGATGATGGTATGGTGACCGTATTGGTGATGTATTATGTAAAAAGCTGCAATATTATGGTTTGTCTAGTAATGCCTTACTGTGGTTCAACAACTACCTGGCTGGCAGGTCCCAGTGCACAAAGATATTTAATAAAATGTCCACTTTACAAAATGTAATTTCTGGTGTTCGACAAAAGTGTGAAGTGTATATACATCTATATGCTGATGATGTACAAATGTATAAAGCTTGCAAGCCAAATGAAGTTAATTCATTGATTTTAGAATTAAATATAAATCTAGAAATGATTGCAAACTGTTCCAAAAATTATTGTTTGAAACTGAATCACTCAAAAACTAAAGCTTGCTGCATTGGTTCTAGGTTAAATATTTCAAAATGTAAGGAATTGATGAGTACAGACATTGTTTTAGGTGATACAGCTGTTGAAATTGTAGAGGAGACTAAGAATTTAGGAATTTTATTGGACACAAATTTAGGTTTTGAGAACCATGTCATTAATAAACTTCGAGTATTCTATTGTAAATATAAGTCACTTTGAAGATACAAACATGTTTTAACCAGGGATACAAAATTATGACTTACCATTACACTAATCCTCACTTATCTAGACTATAGCGCTACAGTATATTATAATTTTCTTACGGAAGAGATAAAGCACAAAATTCAAGTATTACAAAACTGCTGCACGAGATTCTGTTTCAAAGATATACGTAAACTAGAACATATTACTGGATATTATGTGAGAGAAAATTCAAATAACTTATATTACTTCAGTATGGAACTCTACCGTATAAAGTTTTAAAATATAAATTACCTAGATATATGTTTATTGCTTTGGAGAAGAGATGTTCACTCCGCAACAATGCCTATTTCAATATTCCAGTTCATCAGTGGCGGTTCCACTGTAGGAGCACATGAGCACGTGCACCCCCAAAATAAATAATAATAAATATGTATAACATCCATTTAATAATTTCTCAAATAAAGTCTGAGCCTCCCTGATATTTAATCGTATAAAATCAAAGATCTAGTAGCTCTCCACTGGTGAGTCACCACTCTTACCGCTGCGCTGCCTGATTCGGGCGATTCCGACTTGTGATTCGGTCTGTCCCGGTCCGACTGCCGCCGACGGGTGACGGCGGATGACGACGAATAATCGCATATGCGATCATGTACGCGGAATTAGTGTGTTTCTCACCCTGCTGTTCTGGTTGCGGGGTATAGCGGGGTTATGGCAATTTTAGTTGGAGAAGGCGCACACTTCTGGAGTGCGCCATTGTCCGTTGCGCGTGCATTTTATGCAGTAATCGGAGGTGTGTTCGAATTTTTATGTTCGTAGCAGTGTTTTAATAAAATATTGAGTTAAAATTAATGGTTTCACTGTGGAATATTTGAAACATAACTTCAGTTCATTGAGTTTGGAGCAAAAAATTGAAATAAAAAATGCGGGAAGACCTACACCAGAAATTAACTTAACTCAGACCACAAAGGGTAAATCTAGAGACTTTATTAGAAAGTTTAAAATGGAAATATATGAAAAAATAACTGGATTTGTGGATGCAGCACAACAAACCGTTTGTTTTGTTTTTCCTGTTTGTTGTTTGGTCACGGGGTTGCAGAGCCTGCCTGGACAAAAAATGGAATAGCCGACTTGGGACATTTAGCACAAAAAATTAAGAAACATGAAAACACTCAAGTCCACATCAATGCGCAACTGGAAATGCAGCTTTTGGGAAAAGTAGATATACGGCAGCAGTTGGACAGTGCATATAGGCGCAGTGTTCAACAGCAAAATGAACAAGTTAGAAATAATAGGTATGTGCTTTCAAAAATTATTGATTGCATAAAATTTTGCGGAGCTTTTGAATTAGCCCTCCGCGGTCACGACGAAAAAGATGGTTCATCAAATCCTGGTATTTTTAGAGGTTTAATAAATTTCACTGCCGAATTAGATATAGCACTAGATCATTTTGAGAAATCGACAGTATACAAAGGGGTATCAAAAATCATTCAAAACGAATTGTTAGATTGCATGTTACAAGTGGCTCAGGAAAATATAAGAAAAGAAATTTTGGAAGCTGAATTTGTTGCTGTTATGGCTGACGAAACAACGGATGTAGCTAATTGTTATCAAATGACTACAGTATTTAGGTACATTCTACCAGATGGAAGGCCAGTTGAACGTTTTTGGAATTTTGTTACCCCCCCTGACCACGATGCAGTTAGTCTCTCAGAATGTGTGAGAACTAATTTAATACAAGTGCTAGATAAACCAGAGAAACTGATAGCTCAAAGTTATGACGGCGCTAGTGTATTGAGTGGACATCGTGGAGGTGTTCAAGCTCTTATTCAACGTGATTATATTTATGCTTATTTCGTTCATTGTTATGCCCACCAGCTAAATTTGATTTTATTGCAAGCTATAAGCCAAAATCAAGAAGTACAGGTATTTTTTTCAAATTTAAGCAATATTTCAACTTTTTTTTCTCATTCTCCACAACGAGTTGCAGTTTTGGATGACATTGTTGGTGCAAGAGTTCCTAGGTCTTCTGTTACAAGATGGAATTTTAAAAGCAGATCTATGAATACAGTATATGAATATCGCGAATTGTTAATAGAATGCATGGAAAAAATAGAAGCTTCTTCAAAACAAACTGTTACCATCAATCAAGCCACTGGTATTGGCCGTATGCTACAAGATTCTAAGTTTGTGTTCTGGCTAACTGTATTTCATCGAATATTGCCACATGCTGATATTTTATATAATCAGTTACAAAAAACAGTGACTGACCCAGTGCAAATTCAGACTGCCATAAAGTGTTTTGAAAACTGCATCCAAAATGAGAGAGACTGCTTGGAAACAATTGAAACTGAAATTTCTGAAGATACCACTACTACTCAAACTAAAAAGCGTCGTGCAAATGAAGACCAGCATATTTGCAGAGCTGTTGCAGCCAAGGAAGTTTGTGATACCATAATTACACATGTAACAGATAGATTTTCTTTTACAAAACGTTTAAATGCAGCTATTCTTCTTTCTTCTGATAAATTTCCACAATTTGAAAAGCATTTTCCATTGCAATATTTGGAAACTGTAGTAGAAGCATATTCGTTTTTAGATAAAGTTCGTCTCCAGACTGAATTGGAATTAATTTACCGGCGACCTGACTTCAGGAATATGACTGGTGCCATTAGTTTGTTACAGTTTTTTATAGAAAATAATCTTCAGAGCATATTTTCTGCCACCTTTACACTTTTACAAATAATTGTTACCATACCAATGACTACGGCCTAAAGTGAAAGATGCTTTTCGACATTGAAGAGAATAAAAACATTTTTGCGAAGTTCTATGAATGAAGAAAGACTGTCAGCGCTAGCAATGCTATCTATCGAGAAAAAATGTATAGCGGGTATTCCATACTTTAACGAGTTAGTTATTGATAAATTTTCTGCAAATAAAATCAGGAGAATGGACTTTACGTTTAAACACTGTACTCATTAAAAAAATTGTATTTTTTATAAATGTATTTTCTTGTGTATAATAAAAAAAAAATAACAAAAAATGTCTCCTTGATGCTTGTTTTAGTACCCTTATTGCCTTCTACGTCACGCATTACATAAAAATGTTGGTGGTGGCAAAAAAAAAATATTTTATACCACTTCTGAACCCCCTGTATCATAGACCACGAGCCGCCGCTGCAGTTCATACAACGTCTAAATTCAGAAAATGTTCTACTTACACGGCACCATATCTACTGAACGATTATTTAGAGCTTTTTGAAGCATCTTCTATCCAAAACTTCAGAAATGAGATGGAAAAAGTGCTACTACAGCTACAAAGATTTGAATCCACAAATTAAATTTATGGCGCTTGCTACACTATCTTCCATTAATACTCAGACTATATCGTATTATATTCTGTGTTGTGCATAATATTTGTTGTGAATCATACTAATCATTCTGTTGATGATACATAAACACTCATGAAATTAACTTTTTAGGGGGAGGTGAAAAATGGCCGTGCCAATCCTCTTTCCTTTTGGAATGTTATCGTTTTTATATTTTTTATGTATATACATTCCAATAAAAATTATTATTATTATTTGTATTGCCGTTCCAGTTGACTATTTCCTCCTGAATTCAGCTTGAAATTTGGTTGAAATCCTATTTCCCTCGATAAATTCGATGATCCATTAGTAAATAATTACTTCAAAGACTTTTTCAACATCTGGTACAATACTTATTGGCCGCATATTGGTATAGAACTCTTAACTAACTTAATCAGGAGTTATGGTAAAACACGTCAGTTTTGTTGGAAATTCGCCATATTTTAAACAGAAATTTATCAGGATTAATATTCTCCAATAATATCAACACATTCATTAAGGACAAAGTAATAATGATTGAAAATTAATCTTTACGTAATATAAAATTAACTCATGTAGCTGTTTTATACTATTATATACACTGATACTGATACAACTGATCGAACCAAAGACTCTACTGAAAACCAAACAGTAACAAAAAGTTTGCCAAATTTAGATAAACGATAAGAGGAGTAAACAAAAACGCTAAGATTTTACACGGCAGTGGCCGAGAATATAAAAAAACCTGTGTAATAGCATCTTATTTTTGTTTAATTTTTAATCTTTTACTATTTCTTGTATTATGCAACTTTTATATAGGTGTTTTTTTGGAATATCAACTCCTTTTAACGAGTCCTACAAGCTGTTGAAATAAATGACTCAACAAAAAATAAAAATGTATCAATGCATGCAATATTATAACGTTTTTAATAGATCTTATATTTCATACATTGGTTTTATAAAGTTACTACTTTGTTCTCTTTTCAACAGGCAGAATAGGAGACTTGCATCTCACCAGAGTATCCTTAATTCGATAGATATTAAGGACATCCTTCTTTCGCTAACTTTACACCCTGTACGTGTTCTAGGTGACAGGGTAGAAAGATTGCTCCCCCTTCCGGAAGACCGCATACCACCAGCACGAAAAACTCATTCTAGCGAACGGGACAGCAGGGACAGAGGTAGGGAGAGAGACAACAGACACGATCGTACCCCAGAATCACTTGCAGGCAGAGGTGGGGGCAGAAAATCACCTCTAGTCCATGACAGGCATGACAGAGATTTGGACAAAGACAGGGGTGAGCTAGAGTGCCGTTTCTTTTAGTATTATGTCATCAGTTAACTATGCACTTTTTTTTACCTGGGTAGCCATTAATAAAGGATTCCAGCTGTATTTTGGCAACCCAACTAACAATTATAACACCTATTAGAGTTGCAAGAACGATTATACAATATTCCTTTCACAGCATTGTATGTTGCAAGAGCATTGGCAAAACGCTCAAGATTATATCAAAAATTAAATCATATCAAAATAACAGTGCGATTTTGTGTGCGTAATGAATGTTTCAATATTATTGGAGCAAGAATATTAATCCTGATAAACTACTGTTTAAAATATGGCGAATTTCCAACAAAACTGAAGTGTTCTACCATAACTCCTGTTCCAACAGTTAAGAATTCTGATTTGTACACCAATATGCGGCCAATAAATGTTCTACCAGATGTTGAAAAAGTCTTTGAAGAAATTATTTACGAACATATAATCGAATTTATCAAGGTAAATAGAATTTTAATCAAATTTCAAGCTGGATTTAGAAAGAAACACTCAACTGAAACAAAAAATAGTTTTAGAGGGCTTTAGGAGATGTACAGTTACAGTGTTTTTGGACAAAATGGCGTTTGAAACTATTGATAGAGATACATGACTCACAAAATTGCATCACTATGGATTTAAAGGATCTGTATTCAAAGTCAACAAAACAAAATTGGATCTATATTAGGGAGATATTGCAAACATCTGCCTTATTAGTGCAGACCTTATTTTGACATCTACGCATGCGCACATACAATTCTGTATCTATGAGGAATTAATAGGGATAAGGCACGTCCTTATTTAAGCTATAATAGGGGGAGCTTATTTAGGCGTTCTTATGTCACGACGATTCACGATCTAAGCAAATCGGGTGTCGTCGCAAGCCTATTTAACCTATAAATTTGTACTCTCAAAATTCAACGATTGCTGAAGCGTTTTGGTAACTATGAATATGGATAAAAAGAGAATAAGGTTCACGTATGACGACGAAATGATTTTGCTGCGTGAATTTATTGCACAAAACCCTATCCGTTCTCCTGAGAAGTGGGACTCAATCTTACAGAACTTGCGAGAGCTTACGGGAAAAGAATTTATTTTGAGAACAATAAAAAAGCATCTGAACCATCTTCTGGAGCTGTTCCTCAAAAAGGAGGTTAACAGCAAAGTCAAGTAAGTATAAGATAGCACACTGTACCTACATGTATTTTAATAACAAGAGAATGCTTAATGTAAGACTTGGTGAAACAACATTTGTGTTTGACAGGTCTGGCATAGAAGAAGTCTATAATGAAAGAGAACATATGCTCCAAGAAGCCAGCGAGTTAATGAAAGAGACCTGCTCAACTACACCAGCAAAAAAGAAAAAAGTGGAAAACAAAGCGAAAGATATGATTGAAAAGACACGCAATGAAAGAGAGGCTATGGCACTGCTGGCCTTTTCTGATGTGGATGACACTTTAATCGACCATGATTACGGTAAAATAACTATTCTAAACATTTTTTATACATATTACTATATTATCACAGTTTTAGGTGTTTGTGTTACAGTCGACGTTGACACAGAAAATAATAATAAGTCTGTACAAGATGTTGGAACTGCAAAACAGATATCTGTACAAGATGTTGGAACTGCAAAACAGATATCTGTACAAGATGTTGGAACTGCAAAACAGATATCTGTACAAGATGTTGGAACTGCAAAACAGATATCTGTACAAGATGTTGGAACTGCAAAACAGATATCAGGTAAAACAATGATTAGAATTACTGCTTGAATCTTCAGTAATAGAAACACTAAAACAGATCCACAGGTTATGGAGTATGACCAGTAAATAAAACCAGTGCTCGATATAAAATGTGTAGGTACTTATGTTATATACTTTGATAAAAGCCAGTGCAATGACTAACCTGTCAGTGAACTTCTTTTGTTTAGCACTGCGGTTTTATTTACAGGCCAGACTAACCAAATAGTGGATCCAGATGACTACAGCGTATATAGCATTGCCATGGCATCCCATTCAGAGGGCTACTACTAGATTAAGTAGTTTCTAGTATGTTATACATTACCTATAAAACAGAAAGCTCAAAACTACCTCTTACATTTCATGTTCAAGATTAAATACATTTGTTTATTGTTGCTGTTACTTACTTTTCGATCATTACAGCCCCCCGTACCAAAAGGATGAACAAAAGTAAAACATTGAGAAAAAATGGCCTTGATTACCTACGAGAAAAAGCGGAAATATCACGAGAAATAAGATCTGCAGAACTCAAGTTAGAAGAACAAAAAATGGATAATGAAAAAGAAAAAATTGCAAATGACAAAGCAAGACTTGCCTTGGAGTCTAAAAGGCTTGAGGCAGAAATTCAAGAAAAAAAACATAGGATAGAGTTAGAACAAAAGAAATCTGAGCAAGATGTCGCTGAAAGAAAAAACTTGAGTGACCTCATCAAAACACAACAAAAGCTTATTGAAGCATTACTGACAAAACTTGATAATAGATAATTTGCCATTAAAAAAATAATATACTGGCCTTATATTGAAATAATAATGTTGATGCTAAGGATGGTGAGCACAAACCAAGTTTGTTGCCGAAAATATATGAAATTGATTCTGCAACTGGTTCCATGTATGAACATAGTAAAACTGTGTAACTTCAGGATCAAACATATTTCATCCACAACTCCTGAAGAAGTTGATTTCATATATTTTCAGCAACATACTAATTTAGTTTTGAAATCTCTTATTGGGTGCTTGCTGCCCTTATGGTTGTAAAATAAATAAACATACATTCCAAACAAGCTTTATTGGTCTTACAAGTCTATAAAAAATTACAAATTATCATCAAGCGTTACAAGTTAGAAACAACCCAAAATTTAGATGTAAAAGATGGCTAGCGCCATCTAAATTTGCGCTAGAGATAGTTTCTTTGCAAGTTTCGTCAATGACGACGCAGGCAAAGCAGAAACCCCTTACGATTTCTGGTCGCTGACTCAGATGAATTGTACAGAGTACAGATACCCCGGTACCAACCAACAGTAGCCGGCCACCAGAGTCGTAACGCAAGGCGTTCACAGGACAAACTAACAATAGCATTTTCTGCAGAACATGCAATAATATAGTCTGATATACTCGTTTGCTTTCCATTGCAAAGAAACTAGTTCTAGCGAAATTTAGATGGCGCGAGCCATCTTTTACATTTACCGTCTTCCCGCTATTTGATAGACCACATTCGCTTGTTTACTTTCCATTTGTCCGCCTTCACGGCTGGACCTGATACAGACCTATACCATACTGATGAGGGCTAAAGAGCCCGAAACAGCGCTGTCTGCGGTTGGTCTTGGCTGCGGCGATGGAAAGCAAACGAGTATTTCAAACCCAAAATGTCCTCTATTTATCAGTGGCCTATGTAGGTCTCAAGTGAAGGTGGATTTGTATTGAAATACATAGCAGTCTGACTACTATACAGGCATGTATGGCAGTTAGTAAGTAGTACAGCCACCTTGTATAAAGCATCAACGTCTTGAAGTAGCATTTTTTGGTTTTTTGAAAAATCTACAAAGGCAAATTCTGATATGACTTTCTGAAAACCCCATTCTACTGCTATCCTTAGAACTTTCATAGCAGAATTGAAACTCTGCTGATGGGCAGGTAAATCTTCCATTCTGCCATGAAATGGGGTAAATAGCACATCACTCAGCCCATATCCTTGATCACCAAATAAAACAAATCGTCTTGTGTCAAAACATGTCTTTTGCACTAATTCTTCAGAGATACCTGACTCCCTAAATATTCTGGCATCATGCCTTCTTCCCGGATATGCGCCTTTCAAACTAACAATAATTCCATCAGGACAAATTATTGATTGGAATTTTATGCAGTGATACCTTTTGTGTCCTGAATAATACTCTTCTTGATTTTCAGAGGGTCGACAAATTTTCCTTGCTGTACCATCGATGAAACCCCAACAATTATTCATAGGTGCTCCTTTATTATGAATAGCCTACAAAAAGCACATTTCAGCATTTTATGAACCAACCATCACTTCAACTATATTACACAATACAATACCTGTGCATAATACTCCAACTTCTCCCTATTAAACCACTGCAATGAATTCAAATTGTTGAGAAGTACAGCATGCTCCTCCATAATCACACTTATCAATTTATTTATGATTTGTGACAAAGACTGAGTTGACAAGTGGAACATAGGGACCATATCACACAATCTGTTTGGATATGCCAGCCGTCTTAGTAGAATGCACAATGCTGTTAAACCTGAAAGAAGATAAATGGAACTTATACTGTGGTTTTCATGTTGATAGAATTCCAGCCTCTGGCAAGTGTTGTTTGAGTCAGAGGATGGAGTTCGATTGAAATGATGAACATATAGCAATAAATATTTAAACAAAATCATACCATCCACTTTATTACGTGTGATAGTGACAATTTCTGAAGGTATTCGTAAAACAGCCATCAGCCTATGAAGGTCAGACCTCTCAAATCGAAAATTTAGTCTTATTACTTCATCTGGCAAGTTTTCCAAGTTGAATTGTGCTGTATGAGTAATGCCTCTATCAATAAATATATTATGGAGGATGATATGTTCTATTTCCTCCTCATCTGCTCCTGCCAATATAACTGCTTCCAATTCAGCTTCCATTTTACAATCTCACTTCTCACACCTTTGGTAGAATTTCAACTACGAACCACCTATATTATGCAAGCAAAAACTGGAAGGAAAAGTGAGGTTAAGATAAACACCATCAAAGCGAACTGTCAAAATACGTTACATGTGCAATATCTCTAATTCCACTGTACTTATTTAGGTTCACCTAAATAATGCATACCCTTATTTAGGTCCATATGCAATATCTCTCTAATATCAAGCTCAAAAAATACTTCTGTTTGTGGACCACAATGTAGTGAACTAGGTCCAGTACTAATTATTTTATACATTAATGCCGTTTGTGATATTGTAGAAAAGATGTATGGACCATAGGAAACATACAGTGTTTTGGGGTTTCAAAATGGCTTTGAAACAATTGACAGGGATAAATTACTTACAAAATTGCACCACTACGGATTTAAAGGACCTGTATTCAAAATTCTACAAAACTATTTTATTGACAGAAGTCAAAATTTGATCTACATTATCAAGCTCTGTAATGAAGTTTTTTTCCGGTGCCGTGAATTGCGTACTTTCTGACCTTCCCTCGTATTCACGTTTTCTCGAAGACGTGAAATTTAAGATTAATCATTAATAATTATAGTTCCGTTATTCTAAAATTGGGATAGTGGCTGTTCTATATATTATTTTGTCTCCTATAAAGAGTTTCGAATCCTCAAGCAAACCTGATGTTTTTATGACATACCACAGTCGTTTTTGTTGCCATGTGTTACACACAGAAATAGACAGAAACTGATATTTTTCATTTTCCGTATTAGAATTTATTATAATGAATGAAACGATTTAAATCAATTTTTAAGCATTGTGGTAGCACCAGACGGGATTCAGGACGTCAGGAATGCGTCATGAGGCAGTGCTAATAGGTTCCGGGATTTGCAGGGCAAAAACAACACGCCAAAGTGGCGTATCGAGACACTGGCTGAAAAGGCATGTAGTGCCCTTATAACGAATGAGAAGTTGCTGAACTAGAGAGGCAGGTAGTTCGCCAGTTATTGACCCCGAGGAAATAGCGTTACAAATATCATGCAAGCACTATCTATTGTCAATTGATCATCATGTATATTTATCGCGGAAACATAAATAGTAAAATAACAAAAAATACATCTGTAGTTAAAGGAATGACAGGAATACAAATATAATCTCTCAAAACAATTTTGCACACATTGTTAATGGGTGAAAGCAAACTAAATTGTCATCTAGAAGAAAACAGGTAAGAAACCATTGACAGTTAATTTTTGGTATCCATAAAATAAATTATGATCTTCGTTCCAACTGTCTCCTCTAAGGATTTTGACCACATTATTTTGTAGATGATTCTTAATCCATTCCATCAATATTTTTTATTCGCTTTCTAAAATATAATTTCAACATCCTGTATCTTGTTAAGGGGGTAATTTAGGACCCATGTTTATTTGACCTTTTCATGCTAGTTTTTGATCTACTTTATGCTGTAGCAGTACTGATATGTTTTGCTGAAACTGCCACTATAACCACTTTGTAAACATGACTACTGCTTTTATTTACTATAATGTTTAGCATACATCTCTGATTTCTGTTATCAAGTCGCCTCGATGTTCAACTCTAAACTGTCATACATAAGCAAAAGCAAATCATTTTTCTTCAAAGTACAACTATCCCCGAACCATTTGCCCATACAGCGATATAAAATCGATCTAACATCACGATATAAAAATTGAATATCGACGTTTGTACAGTATCGATGGCTTGTACCCATCTTCTAATTCCAGCTGTAACGATCAGCTGACCAACGATACTGGTCCGATTAGTTGGTTCTTAAGGAAAAGTTGAATATACTGCACTTTATCTTAAGAAGTGATCTTGAATTAAGAAAGTGACCATAACCTCAATATGTTGGATGTTCGCTCTAGTCATGCATAAATGTAGTGATTTGGATACTTACTGAAACGTCATCATTAGGCGCTCCTCTGGCGATATCGGATTGCGTTCAGGTGCCTTCACTAAGGTCAGGAGTTGATACCAGCGCGGCTTTTGGTTTTTTGCTCTAGGCATAGTCATCCTCGATTAATCGCACAAAAAACAAGTCCAACACAAACACACCCGAAAACGAACAGCAAAACAACTTTGTACCGCAAACTCGCCAACAACTCAAAAACAACAGAATGATTCACATTCACACCGCCTGGCTTGGTCCGTAAATCGTCGTGGAACACAGGAGACGCCACAGGATTTACGTCAATACGAGCATAAAACCGTATGGAAAGGGCTATCCAAGGGTAAGACGAGTGCCGAAACCACCCGAATCATGTCAAAAAATGGGTGTGACGTCACCAAAACGCTTGACCACCACTGGAAATCACTAGCTAGTTACCATCTGGCGGCGTAACATGTGGAGGACACTGGTGTAGAAACAGCTGATCCTTGAACTAGATTACGTCAAGTCGTGCATGAACCCGACATTAGAGATGCAAATTTTGTCTTTCTAAATATCTGTATGCTAAGTAATTGTTGTAGTTTTTTAATAGAAAGTAATTGTAGCAACCATAAATAAATCTGAAACAAACAAACTCGACTACCATGAGCTACTGTCGATGTCCATTGAACCCTATTTCTCGAGTATTCATTACGTTTTGACGTCTACTGAGGCGAACTGCTGATCAGCAGCTGACATATTTGTATTAGTCTGTAATGTTGGCAATAATGGATCGGGTGTAAATCTGGCAAAACTTTTCGTATTCACATATCTAGATACTTTTGGTGACTGGGAATCATGACTATGAAATATACGAAGCACACATAGAAAAATGTTAGAAAATTATTACAGTGCATCTGGGATTTGTTGTTCTTGAAGACAGTCAATAGAACAGATTGTTGTCCTTTCAAGTTGTTGTAATTGTACATGTGAAAATAATATAGACACGTGTTTCTGGTTAATTGACCGTCATAAGTGTAACGTAATTCAAATATGGGTTCCTCTTTAAAATCATAGTATTTCAAGTTATAAAAATTAGAAATGATTAACAAAGTCAAAAACTATTTATACTACTTTATTCCTACCAAACTTGAAATGTAGTTATGATCATTAGCAGCCATTTTGCTTGTAGCATTTTTTTTGAAGGCACAGGAACATTTCTAAATAAAACACTTGAGATACAAAATGAATCTGTAGCCTACAAAAAAAGTTAACAATATGCGGTTCTGTATACCTGGCGTTGACGGATCTTTCAGAATTTTGTGTTACTGATCGATATGGGGAATTTCGAAATATTACTAGATAATCAGCTGTTATTTTACCGTAACCGATACTCGATAGTTTACAGAAAATGTATATATGTCTATGTAATTTGAAAAGTCGGGTTTCGCTTTTATGGTTAGACTACAGTTTGCTTGAGATCATTTGCTCATTTCCTTACAGGCTATGATCGAAGTTATGACCGTGGATCAGAGAGAAGCGGTTATGATAGAGACAGAGAACGTGACAGAGAGTATAGAGTTGGCTCAAGTGGTGGAAGGGATGCTGAGCATAGAGTGGGGTCCGGTGATAAGAGTTATGACAGCCCATATGACAGGTATGTACTTTAAAATGAACCATTGCTGTAATTTTCTGTGCATTTAAAGGACCATTTCGGTTGATAGACTTCAACAAGACAATCCGAAGAATTATTTCATTCGCTATTCTGGTACTGCATAACCATATACAGGGTGTTAGCCAAACTTCAAGAGGTATTAGGGAAGGGAAAACAGTTTATTTGAAAAAAATGCTTTTGAAACTGACAAATTTTCCTCATGACACTCTGGCTATCTATTATCATTGTTGTCATCACTGACATCAACAGTGTGGTATAGGTTACCTGTGACATCTAGTCAGATTGCAGCTTTCAAACACTTTTATAGTCTAAAAGTTGCCAGTACTAGCATGGAATATTGCGAACCAGAACAGCAGTTTCTATTGAAAATATTGATATTTGCTGTTATTCTTTGAACTACTACTTCTGAACCCGGCATAAGGTGCCATTTATTGCCAGCATCATAGTTTATGCTGGCTTATTTTACCACTTAGCATATTAGATCGAAGCCGTAAAAGAAGACACAGGAAAATTTATTCGTCAGGTTTACTACAAAGTGGGTCAGAAAGTTCTTCTTTAGATGGGATGTAGCGTTTGCCGTGGGCTGATGGACTTTCTTTGGCTTAATTAGCAACAATTCTTACTTTAGTTTCCTCGTCTACGTCGTCGTCAAACAGAGATAGCCCTCACTAAGCATAAGTCCTGGTTAGGTCCTTTTACCGCTAAAGTGCATTGCAACCACGGTTTCACGTATGTTGTCACGATGAACAGGCAGATATCTAACAGAGCTGCCTTATCCTTAATAGAAAGTTCGAGCTGGGAACTTAGTAACGCTTTGTTTAATGAATAGATTGCTCTGATCATCCATCGAGCTTGATGCATTGCGTCTGGCGGTCGAATCATATTTTTTTAACTGTATCTCCGCCAAAGAATATTATTCAGTGTTCTATTAATTCTCGATAGTCGTCTCTAGCAGCTTCTTTGGTCAATTCATGTCGATAAAATTCGAACAGCTTGCCAGTATCTGGAATATTCAGGCATGATAGCTTTTCAGTATACTATAATACTATAAATCTGTATTCTCTCGGGAATCACACTTTTCCAGCTTTCGCGAAACTTTTTATAAACATTGGAATGTCGGGCCTTGTAGTCACTTGGCCGATCTCAGATTCAAGCACTCGTTTTTTTCGGTTCGAATTCCTTGAATGGAGGACTTGCAATAGGAAAGTCGTCTGTGTTATGTCCAAGTGCCTCAATGGTTGCTTCAATAATAAAAACAGCATTTATCATGCTTAACTGACAACTATCTAATGCTGCCACTATTTTTGCAGTTACGAAACTTTTCCTCATTTGAATTCGATTAGTATCAGGCTGTGTGTGTTGGGATGGGCACAGTTTCTTGTAAATTTATCTGAAGATGTTTCGTAAGATGATGTTGAAGGATTTAAGGAAGCAACACATTCGCTCGCTGCTTTTGTTCTTCGGTGTTCCTAAGACTCGCCTTTTCTTTTATATGGCTAATTTCTTGTTCACCCTAAATGACCAGGTTGACCTGGCTCCCTGTAACGGCAAGGAGATCCTATCTTCATTTACTTTCATCAATTGAAGGACATCGGCATGCGCAATGTCAAACAGATTGTCCAAATTGAAAATTGAAAACACTATGTATTTTTTTCAAATAAAGATATCGCTTCAAGTTTGGGACATGTTTAGTTAGTTATTGAGATGTATTTCTGGAAAGTTGAATGGGTTATCACTCCCTTCCGCTTTAACAGGAAGTGGAATTGACTTTTAATTTCTTCCACAATCGTACTCTATGCAATTCCCTTTCCAACGATGTGCCACAAGTGACATTTTCGTTTTAAAATGGCGGCGCTATAAAGGAATCCGTGAATAGCTTAAAATCCGCCATATTGCTTATAAGACAAACAAATATTTTAAACTGTCAAGGTGGCGTGATCAACAAATGTCTAAAACGGGCTAAATAAAATGAAAGCTTGTAATTATGTGTTTTTTATGTTAGTATACTTATGTGAAAAAAAATCAGGAATCCACATCTTCAAGACAGGATTTCTGATAGAACCCTGTATATCTTTTCCAGAAATCTTATTCTACGTAAATTTCTCTATTCAATGATATATAACAAGTATTACTTTTGTTGTCAAATGACAGCTGCATAAAAGAATTTGTGAATTAATCTCCAGAAGCTATAGGTAAAAATGTATTTTTTTATTATTAACACATTTCCAGTGATATTCTGCAAGCTACTATTGGTTTAGTAACAAATTAAAATTACAAATATTTAATAGAAGCTACCAATCGCTGCAAGAAATTAAGGAGGCTCTGAAAATTTAGGATGGTTTCAAGTAGCATTAAATTTATTTGAAAAGAATAATAGGCTCTGGAAACAAAAGAAAGACAATTCATAACGTACCTATTATTTATTGTTTAGTTATTTGACGTTTGGCAATCTTCGTTTTACTTGAATTTATTTTCACTTATTCCTATTCCATAAAAGGTAAACCTACAGAAACGAGCAAATTAATATTCGAATGCAGAAAAAATTCTAGAAGTGCTACTGCGTTGTACGCTCAGCGATATCCTAATAGACAACTTATTCATACTTTTTCCAGTTAGAGGCAAAGTTTAGAAACGAAGATGTTAATGGTGATGAAGAGAACTCTTTCGTAGAGAAGTGAAGAAGTGGAGAGAATTGGTTTGGTGCTCAACTTCAAGAATATAGAAATTTTCATTATCATATTTTGTGGCCTGATGAATCGCGTTTCACAAATCTTGGGTTGTTTAATAAAAATAATAATACACTGTACTGGGCCACTGAAAATCCACGTTTGATCAGAGACCGTTTTGGTTTGGAGTGAACGTGTGGCTTGTAGTTCTGAGAACCCGCATAGTTCATCCTATATTTTTTATGAACCCTTAACTGGGGGAGATCATCTTAACTTTTTGCAAAATGAAATAGAAAATTTTATTGATGGTTTGCCCCTGGTTGACAATAGGGATGTTGTACTTCTACAAGATTGGGCTCCCGCCCACAACAGCAGAGAAGTTACAAGGTATTTAATGGATAGATTCGGATAGAAACAAATCCTATTAGGTGACCCGACCATTTTAGACTTTTTCATTTGGGCCTACTTGAAGGAGAAGGTTTATCCCACGCCTCCTATAGATCTGTTAGATTTAGAAGAGCGAATAACGGCAGCAATTAACACCGTATCTGAAGTTTCTTAAACATTGAACATGAACTGTATTAGCTTCAATATGAATGTTTAATAGTTTTTGTTTCTTAATTCTGTAATATTTTTTATAACTAGAATAGTTGGGCAAAATTGGTAGATTAGTGTAGAAGAGGATAATATTAATAATTTCAGTTTGTACCAATCAAAGGGAGTTGTTTTAATAGACGGTTATTATAAAATAGAAAATAAAAACATTTTTTTTTATTACTTTGCCTGAAATTATGTTTTTTATTCTGATCACATCGCCACCTCGACAGTTTAAAATACTTTTTTGTCTTGTAAGCAATATGGCGGATTTTAGGTTATTCACAAATTCCTTTATAGCGCCACCATTTTAAAACGAAAATGTCACTGGTTACACATCGTTGGAAATGGAATTTGTCAAAGAATACGATTATGGAAGAAAATATACAAGTTTCCATTTGAAAAACGAAAGTCAACGTCACTACCGGTTAAACTTTCCAAAAATGTTTCAATCTTGGAGCGTTATCTTTATTTGCCAAAAAAATACAGCGTGTTTCCAATTTTCATTGTCACCCAGGTATATTTTGACAGTAAAAAGAAAGCTTTGAAAAGACAATTTGGTAAATAAAGTTCTTTTAATTATAAATATCTAAGAAATATAAAATACAAATAAAGCAGTGTTTTTATTTGTCGAATAAGAATGTATTGAAATCCATGGTTTCTATATTAACTTTCAAATTCAAAGTTTGATCGAACATCGGGTTATCGTTCCCTGATCGCAGAAATATTTATTTTTTGAGTTGTTAAAGTCAAATGGAAAAAATTAGACATGCGTTTGAAAAAAAAACTTTCATTTTTTCGCGACACACTAATATACATGAGTACCGAGTTGCCAGCTCTGGTTGCCAGTTACTTTTGATCAGAACGGACTCTTGAGTTTCGCCGCTTTATTAACACCTTGTGTTGCTTTCAGAAATCGCTTAGAGGATAGCAGACGGTACGCGGACATGGCTGAGGACCATTATGACGACAGGCGTCGTAGGGACCATCGAGATGATCGAGATATCGACAGGTGACTTAACATACAGTGCTTTACAAAAAGGTGTCACCTACTATTTTTTTGAACGGGTTTACAGTGTTCGAAAAGTAGACGGAGATATTTTAGAGGGTGATTCCTTGTTAAAGTATATGAAAACAGATTTCTATAAACATGGAAATGCAGAGTTTCCAATATACAGGGTGATCAATTAAGAAAAACTATTAATATACTAAGTGACATATAAATCCGAACACCCAGTTTAAATGGTTTTATTTTAATAAAAGTTGGTTAATGTATTTATCTTACTGTAAATAACAAGTGAAAAAATGTTCAGCTTTATCAGTTGGACATTCCGGTTTTTATACTGCTTTTTTTTAATTCACTAACGCTCTAAAAATGAATATTTCAGCCGCAGTAAAGAATCAACGTTGGCGGATTTTGGTTCTTGACATCCTTTACGATCGGTTACGATGCCTAGAGTACGGAGACCTGTACGATTTCGTCAACTTAGTGAGTTTGATAGGGGCCGTATAGTGGGACTTCGGGAAGCTGGACTTTCTTTTCGGGCAATTGCAGTTAGAGTGCAAAGAAGTGTAGACACTGTGGTTAGGTGTTGTCAGGCATGGCTTTGAGAAGGCCGTACGCAAAGAGCAAGGGGCACTGGACGCCGCCGTAGAACAACAGACCGTGAAGATCGCCGCCTAAGATTATTGGCCTTAAGGGACCGTTTCTCCACTACCAGGTCCATTGCAAATGAATGGTTTGCAGAACACGGAAGACCTATTGGCATGCGAAGTGTTTACCGACGAATGAGAAGTTTTGGCTTGTTTTCATACCGGCCACACTGGGTTCTCCCTTTAACTCGAGAACACCGACGTAATCGCCTTGAGTGGTGCAGACAACGGTCACTCTGGGATCAGGAATGGAACAGTATTGTCTTTAGTGACGAGTCTCGATTTTGTTTAGGCATGCACGATGGTCGTGCAAGGGCTAGAAGGCGACGTGGTGAAAGGAGGAATCCACAGTTTTTTGTTGAAAGACATGTTCATCACACTGTTGAAGTTATGGTTTGGGGTGCTGTAGCTTGTGGTTCCAGGTCACCTTTAATCTTCATCAGAGGTAACATGAACGCGCAGCGTTATATCCACGAAGTTCTAGAACCCCATCTTTTACCCTATCTTGACACCCTGGCAGATCCAACTTTCCAACAAGATAATGCCCGACCACATGTTGCAAGAGTCACAATAGACTTCTTTCAACATAATGATGTCACATTGTTACCATGGCCACCAAGATCTCCCGACTTATCCCCAATTGAGCACGTGTGGGATATGATAGGTAGGAGATTGCTCAATTTGCAACGTCCTCCTCAGAGTCTAGAAGCACTTCGAGAGGAGTTGGTGGTTGCCTGGAATGAGATACCACAGGAGGACATTGACCACCTGATCAGAAGCATGCCTAGGCGCGTTGGAGAATGCGTAGCACATCAAGGTGCATCCACACATTATTAAAGGTCAAAGGGCTTTAAAGCAGTGCAATCATTTTGAAATTTTTATCATTTACTTATTATGCTTCATTAAGTACTTATACAAAATTTTATTAAAATAAAACCATTTAAACTGGGTGTCCGGATTTATATGTCACTTAGTATATGTATGTTAAAAAATATTTACTCGATTCTGTTGAAATTTGTTGTATTAAGAGGCTAATTTAGCACTAAATAGATTAAAATCTGCGAATATTATTATTGGCAAAAAATGTTCGTTACTGCCTTTATTATTATTATTATTTGCTGTTTGATTAAGCATCTAAAAATACAATTTCTTTTTTTTTAATTTTTTTCGTATCTCACTTTGTTTTCGAGAAAATAAAAACAGCGCTTGTCACTGGACAAAATTAGTTTATTAAGTCCCTTGGAACACCAAAAACATTTCTGGATGGTGATTTGATATTTGCGCGGCAGTTCTTCTAGAAAAGAATTGTTCACGTAATTTTCTTTGCGAAATTTCTCCAAGTTTTTGTTTCTGTTTTTGAGATGGAAAATTACACTTTTGAGGACATGCCTTTAATGTATGCACGTCCTTATAGTAATTGTTATGCAGCGAGGCGCCTGTATGCAGATAGTTGAATGCGTAGACCGTAAATTTTTTGCCAATAATATTTAAGGTGGCCCCCAGGACGCCACTGGATCTAAATAATTTTAATTTATTTAGGGTCGTATCGTCAGTCGTTCCTACAATTGTAGGACGCCTCTATGGGCTACTTGATTGTCATAGACCTTTCTCTTCAGAAAGGCTAGAGCATTTTAAGATTTCACCTGTTCCGTGTCTGCGACAGCGCTCTCCTATTATGAAGTTATGTTTTCTTTTTGAATTGTAGGAAATTTCAAGCTGATATAACATGATATAAATCATAAGCATGAACAATTTGATGCAAAATGGATATTTGCAACATAACCTCAAAATAGAGCGCTGACACGGAGCAGTAGAAAACTATAAAAGTCAAGCAGGCCATAATGGCGTCCTACAATTGTAGAAACGACTGACGATACGGCCCTTAGTTCTAAATTAGCCTCTTAATACAACAAATAGTATTGCGAGATTGCAACAGTACCGAGAAAATATTTTTTAATATATGGGGTTGTCCAAAACGGACGCAGGAAAGTAAACGCATATGAAAACAAGAAAGATTGATATTCAAATCAAGCTGGGTACTTTATTTTGAAGGTTCATTTATACCATTTATATATGAAAAATAATATCGCTCAAATGTTCACCACGACTGGATTTACAGACGTCCACGCGATGGTCGAAATTTTCAGTGACATTTGGCAACATGGTCGGTTCTATGGCATTTATCTCGGCAATGATGTTGTTTTTGAGTTCTTGGAGGGTGGTTGGTTTGTTGACGTAGACTTTGCTTTTCAAATATCCCCATAAAAAGAAGTCCAAGGGATTCAAATCGCTCGATCTTGGTGGCCATGGCACATTTCCTCTGCCCGAAATCACGCGATCACCGAAGAAGGACTGCAATCGATGAATATTGACGTTGGTTGTGCGGCATGTTGCACCGTCTTGTTGGAAATAAACATCGTCCATATTCATTCCTTCAAGTTGCGGCAAAAAATAGTCCTCTATCATCACGTGATAAAAAGTAAGGTCCGATGATGCCTTTTGACCACAATGCACACCACACAGTCACTTTTTGAGGATGCATCGGTTGCTCTTGATACTCACGGGGATTTTCGTTCACCCAGATGCGGCAGTTTTGCTTGTTTACCGTCCCATTCAAAGTGAAATGCGCTTCGTCGCTGAACATGAAAAATTGGCATCAATTTGGCGGTGTTCAAGGAGCCAATCTGAGAACGTTCGGCGCGAAAAATAGTCGGCCCGACGCAGCTCTTGCGTCAATTGGATCTTGTAGGCGTGTACATTCAAATCCTTGTGGAGAATGCGGAGCAAACTGGTTCTCGAAATGCCCAATTCTTGGTATCGGCGCGTTGTTGATTGTTTCGGATCGTCTCTCACACTCTCCTTCACAACAGCAATATTTTCCGGTGTGCGAACGCTCCTTGGCCGGCCAGAGCCTGGCAGATTTGCCACAGAACCGCCTCGAATTTTCTCACCAGACGACCGATGGTTGTTTCGTTTGGGCGGTTGTTGCGACCGAAATGTTCACGAAGCGCGCGAATATAAATAACTTTAATGCGGTCTTCAATCGAATACGACTCCATAGCGATCAATGGTAAACATTCAACTAACAAAATGACATGTCAGTGACAGAAAACAAAGATGGCGTCTATGTCAAATTGACGTTTACTTTCCTGCGTCCCTATTGGACAACCCTTTATTATTTTTTTTAAATTTATCACCCTGTATCTTGCAAACTCCGGGTCCATGTTTATAGAAATTTGTTTCATATTTTTTAACAAGGAATCACCCTCTCAAATATCTCCGTCTATTTTTCGAACACCCTGTATAATCCCAGAATATAAATTTACTACCATAGAAAGTTGCATACTGGTGGGCAGTCAAAGTTGAGAGCTTTTGTACTTTGTATCGTTGATACCTTTCAACTCAACAACTTGTTGTTTGGGAAGCGACTATCTGAGTGGACATACACTATGTATATCTCTGAAAAAATGGCGTCTAGTAGATTGACTCTGTACTTTCTACGCCTTCGTTGGAGGTGTTAAAGAAAAGGGATGAGTCAAGTCGTTTCAAAGGGCGAAATCGAATCGTGACTAGGTAGGTTCACCCAGTCTTACTTCTTCCATAGTTGATTTGTCAGGTACCAGCTACCTACGGTACTGATTCCGTACCACGCCACCGACGCGACGACGGCGAAGCATGAGGAACGATTATAAGCCAGTTATATTAGCTCTAAGCATGTCATTGAACACTTAAATAGTAGGGAAATAACGTTTTGTAAGGTAATCAAATTAAATGAATATTATTCTCAATTTTCTGTTAACGAATACGCGTTCTGTAACTAATTTATGTTGTATCACCACACCAAATTATTTAATAAATAGGAGTGTGACAAAAATTACCGAAATAATTTGACTGACCTATAGCAGACTAAGGCCCGTATCGTCAGTCGTCCCTACAATTGTAGGGCGCCTTTATGGCCTCCTTGATTGTCATAGTTTTCTACTTCTCCGTGTCAGCGCTCTATTTTGAGGTTATGTCACAAACATCTATTTGCATCAAATTGTGCTTGCTTTTGAGTTATATCATGTTTTATGAGCCTGAAATTTCCTACAATTTAAAAAGAAAAAATATCTTCACAATAGGAGAGCGCTGACGCTGACACGGGACGGGTGCAATCTAGAAATTTTTGAAGGAGAGAAAGGAGTATGACAATCAAGGAGGCCATAAACGCGCCCTACAATTGTAGGGACGACTGACGATACGGGCCTTAGTATCAGTTATGTTTTTAGTAATGCTTGTATTGTGACGCGTCTGCTTCTCCACAGATTTGAATCCGCGCATGTCGTGTAACAGTCACGGCTCACGACGTTTTGAAACACTTCTACGATGAATCTTCCATCTCTACATATCAAACTATATAGAGTGGCCCAACGAAAAGGTCGCACCCACATTTGTGATTCTCCTGGGGAAAACGCTCTGACACGTCCATTTTGACTTGACTTGACTAGGGGGACGTCTTTTATCTGTAGCCGTACAATACAGGGTGATCCAGAAATAAGATATTGCGTTACACTTTGCATTTTTTAAATGGAAACCCCTATTTTTTTAATTTTTAGATTTTCCATGAAATTTTTACTATCTTTTGTATAACAAAGTTTATACTTATCTATTTGAGTTATAATAAAATTCTAGAAATTGTGATTAGAGATTGAGGGCGTTGCGTGGGAAGTGCAGAGTCGACCTACGTGCCGTCATTTTTTTATTATTTTCATTTCCATACATATAGTATATAATTTTTGTTAGCAATTTATAGTTTTTTAAAAATCCCGAAACACAGCTTGTTTTATCTCATCTCATTTCAACCTCGTTCCGTCCTCATGGAAAACCTTTGACGCCGTTGCTATATAATACAAGTATACTAAGTGACATATAAATCCGAACACCCAGTTTAAATGGTTTTATTTTAATAAAAGTTGGTGAATGTATTTATCTTACTGTAAATAACAAGTGAAAAAATTTTCAGCCTTATCAGTTGGACATTCCGGTTTTTATACTGCTTTTTTGAATTCACTAACGCTCTAAAAATGAATATTTCAGCCGCAGTAAAGAATCAACGTTGGCGGATTTTGGTTCTTGACATCCTTTACGATCGGTTACGGTGCCTAGAGTACGGAGACCTGTACGATTTCGTCAACTTAGTGAGTTTGATAGGGGTCGTATAGTGGGACTTCGGGAAGCTGGACTTTCTTTTCGGGCAAAGAAGTGTATTTATAGACACTGTGGTTAGGTGTTGTCAGGCATGACTTCGAGAAGGCCGTACGCAAAGAGCAAGGGGCACTGGACGCCGCCGTAGAACAACAGACCGTGAAGATCGCCGCCTAAGATTATTGGCCTTAAGGGACCGTTTCCCCACTACCAAGTCCATTGCAAATGAATGGTTTGCAGAACACGGAAGACCTATTGGCATGCGAAGTGTTTACCGACGAATGAGAAGTTTTGGCTTGTTTTCATACCGGCCACACTGGGTCCTCCCTTTAACTCGAGAACGCCGACGTAATCGTCTTGAGTGGTGCAGACAACGGTCACTCTGGGATCAGGAATGGAACAGTATTGTCTTTAGTGACGAGTCTCGATTTTGTTTAGGCATGCACGTTGGTCGTGCCAGGGTTAGAAGCCGACGTGGTGAAAGGAGGAATCCACAGTTTTTTGTTGAAAGACATGTTCATCACACTGTTGGAGTTATGGTTTGGGGTGCTATAGCTTATGGTTCCAGGTCACCTTTAATCTTCATCAGAGGCAACATGAACGCGCAGCGTTATATCCACGAAGCTCTAGAACCCCATCTTTTACCCTAACTTGACACCCTGCCAGATCCAACTTTCCAACAAGATAATGCCCGACCACATGTTGCAAGAGTCACAATAGACTTCTTTCAACATAATGATGTCACATTGTTACCATGGCCACCAAGATCTCCCGACTTATCCCCAATTGAGCACGTGTGGGATATGATGGGTAGGAGATTGCTCAATTTGCAACGTCCTCCTCAGACTCTAGAAGCACTTCGAGAGGAGTTGGTGGTTGCCTGGAATGAGATACCACAGGAGGACATTGACCACCTGATCAGAAGCATGCCTAGGCGCGTTGGAGAATGCGTAGCACATCAGGGTGCATCCACACATTATTAAAGGTCAAAGGGCTTTAAAGCAGTGCAATCATTTTGAAATTTTTATCATTTAGTTATTATGCTTCATTAAGTACTTATACAAAATTTTATTAAAATAAAACCATTTAAACTGGGTGTTCGGATTTATATGTCACTTAGTATATTTACTTTGCTTGCATTTTACTATTTTAATTCTTTAGTTTTTTGTTGTTGTCTTTTGCTTATTGTTGTGAATTCGGATAGGTCAATGGATAACTGGGCGCCTGAAGACAGACGTCGATGGGGCAGTCAGGATTGGAGAGAAAAATCTAGACCGCAAAGTGCCACTTCTCATCACGTGGATGCAGTTAATGGTAAACAAACATTTAAACTAGAGTTGTACAATGAACGTAGCAAGTATTGAAAACTAGGCAACATGGTGCGCAATCTGTGAGGTCAAAAATGTTAAGCTTTCGCATATGAAATGGTGATTATCTTGCTTTTTAGTGATTTTAAATAAATATAACAGAAAATCTTAACCTTCAAAATTGGACAAATATTAAAATATTTAAACTAAATGGAAATGAAAGTGCCGAATTTATATCATATGGATTAAATTCTTAGAATAACTCTTTGACTTTCGTAATATACCCACTTCATCATTATTTACTGAATATTATTGGAAACAGAAATTGACATGTACAAAATTGAAAGAATGGATCTAATATTATCAAATGCTGAGTTTTTAAAAAATACTTTTGCATGTGGCACCAAATTTAATAATAATTTATTCGCATTAATAAATTTCAATCCACAAAAGGATATCATTGTGTGTGTTGTAAATTCGAGCAAGGGGTACAAAGACATTAATGACTTGAAGGCACTAATCATCGATTTGCGTAATCAAATCAAGGATTTGAAAGCTGATAACACCAAACATGCAGATTCAAGTTTTTCCATGGAAGATATCATATCTGAGATTTCAGAGCGTGAAAGACGTAGAAACAACGTAATAGTCTTTAATGTCACTGAGCCTGATCAAAATAAAGCCAGAAGTGAGCAAAATGAATCTGATAAAACAGTTGTCGTCAACTTGTTACGTGAAGCTGTCTTTGATGTGAGGCTAACCAACATAAAAGTGATGAGATTAGGAATGTTTTGCGGCACAAAAGTTAGACCCATCAAGGTAATACTTGACAGCTATGACTCAGCATTGCAAGTTCTGGTGAATGCGAAAAAGCTTAAATCAAGTAATACCTTCAAGCATGTAAACATCGTACAGGATCGCACCAAAAGGCAAATGGAGCATTATAAAAATATCAGGTCTGAGTTAGCCAGGCGTCATGAAGTAGGAGATAATAACTGTAGGATCAAGTTCATCAACAATGTACCAAGGATTGTTCCTTTAAAGTAGGTCGGCCCAATAGTGGATGTAGTGATTTTTTGACCGTGTACTATCAGAATGTTAGAGGGCTAAACAGCAAAATTAACAAATTCTATCCTGCTGTGAGTGACTGTGAGTATAATGTATTTGCTTTAAGCGAAACGTGGCTAATGCCCGAAGTAAACTATCTCGAATTATTTCCCAATTCTTTTGATGTTCATCGTAATGACAGAAAACATAATCAATTAAACCTGTCAATGGGTGGTGGTGTACTACTAGCAGTTGAATCGGCTCTTAACTCTGTTGTAGTAGATATACTAAGTGACATATAAATCCGAACACCCAGTTTAAATGGTTTTATTTTAATAAAATTTTGTATAAGTACTTAATGAAGCATAATAAGTAAATGATAAAAATTTCAAAATGATTGCACTGCTTTAAAGCCCTTTGACCTTTAATAATGTATGGATGCACCTTGATGTGCTACGCATTCTCCAACGCGCCTAGGCATGCTTCTGATCAGGTGGTCAATGTCCTCCTGTGGTAACTCATTCCAGGTAACCACCAACTCCTCTCGAAGTGCTTCTAGACTCTGAGGAGGACGTTGCAAATTGAGCAATCTCCTACCTATCATATCCCACACGTGCTCAATTGGGGATAAGTCGGGAGATCTTGGTGGCCATGGTAACAATGTGACATCATTATGTTGAAAGAAGTCTATTGTGACTCTTGCAACATGTGGTCGGGCATTATCTTGTTGGAAAGTTGGATCTGCCAGGGTGTCAAGATAGGGTAAAAGATGGGGTTCTAGAACTTCGTGGATATAACGCTGCGCGTTCATGTTACCTCTGATGAAGATTAAAGGTGACCTGGAACCATAAGCTATAGCACCCCAAACCATAACTCCAACAGTGTGATGAACATGTCTTTCAACAAAAAACTGTGGATTCCTCCTTTCACCACGTCGCCTTCTAACCCTGGCACGACCATCGTGCATGCCTAAACATAATCGAGACTCGTCACTAAAGACAATACTGTTCCATTCCTGATCCCAGAGTGACCGTTGTCTGCACCACTAAAGGCGATTACGTCGGTGTTCTCGAGTTCTCTCCACCCAGTGTGGTCGGTATGAAAACAAGCCAAAACTTCTCATTAGTCGGTAAACACTTCGCATGCCAATAGGTCTTCCATGTTCTGCAAACCACTCATTTGCAATGCACCTGGTAGTGGAGAAACGGTCCCTTAAGGCCAATAATCTTAGGCGGCGATCTTTACGGTCCAGTGCCCCTTGCTCTTTGCGTACAGCCTTCTCGAAGCCATGCCTTACAACACCTAACCACAGTGTCTAAAATTCTTTGCACTGTAACTGCAATTGCCCGAAAAGAAAGTCCAGCTTCCCGAAGTCCCACTATACGGCCCCTATCAAACTCACTAAGTTGACGAAATCGTACAGGTCTCCGTACTCTAGGCATCGTAACCGATCGTAAAGGATGTCAAGAACCAAAATCCGCCAACGTTGATTCTTTACTGCGGCTGAAATATTCATTTTTAGAGCGTTAGTGAATTAAAAAAAAAGCAGTATAAAAACCGGAATGTCCAACTGATAAGGCTGAAAATTTTTTCACTTGTTATTTACAGTAAGATAAATACATTCACCAACTTTTATTAAAATAAAACCATTTAAACTGGGTGTTCGGATTTATATGTCACTTAGTATACTACACAGTTTGATACAAGTTTCCCAGAAATAGATTTTTTGGTATGCAAATGCATTGTATCTCATCAGAATCTTTATTTCGCTGTCATATATGCTGCACCACATGTTTCTGTTGATATATTTGAAGCTTTTTTTGAAATGTTAGAAAACTGGGAAATCATGCATTCCAAACGTGTTGTCTTTCTGGGTGATTTCAATTCTCCAAACTTTGTGGAAAATAATTTAAATGACGCAAAGACCCGCTACATTGTTAATTGGCTTAACTTCTGGAACATGAAACAGTATAATAATATTCATAACCAATATGATAGAATCCTGGACTTAGTAATAAGTAACATTGATTGTATTGTTTATAGAGATTTAGCTCCATTAGTGGATGAAAACGTGTATCATCCTTCTTTGTCTGTAACATTAAAAACTGTCTGCAAAAAGAGTGAATACGTCACAGTCAGTACTGACCAAAAAAAGATATAATTTTAGACGTGCTAACTTTTTTTCGCTGTATAATTCTTTGTTATTGGTTAATTGGGATAACACTAGTGACACAAATGATGCAATTAATGCATTTTATACCAAACTTTACGAATTATTTGATGCACACGTTCCACAATATAAAAATTTCAGGCATAAATGTCCCTCTTGGTACACCAGTGAAATTATAAAACTAGTAAAACAAAAAGACAAAGCGCACAAAAAATTTAAAAGGTCTGGTGCTAACGAAGATTACCAAGAATTCGGCTGTCTTTCTGGTCTTTCGTACATAGTAAAAACAACACTTCTAGGATTCCCAATAGAATGTTGTATGGAAACGAGTCATTTGGTGATCCGCAAAGTATAGTCAACGCCTTCGCTGATTTTTTTCTCCAGCGTTTACTCAACTGCTAATGTCGATACTGAGTTGAACTTTGATTTCAGTCATAGTGGACTCGTCGACATTAGTTGTGAGCCAATATCGAACATGTTCTTGAGCGCAGTGAAACTGTGAAAGACTTAGGTATCTACATTGATCAACATCTAACCTTTAATGAGCATATCAATCAAATCATTTCAAGCGCTTACCGAACCTATGGCTTCGTTATCAGGAATTGTAAATCTTTTGACGTTTTGACTTTGCAGACATTATACTTTAGCTTGGTTAGGTCTAAGCTTGAATATGGATCTTTGATATGGAGTCCAATTTACAAGCAGTATATTGATGTTGTTGATAAACTTCAAAAGAAATTTTTAAAATTTTCATGTTTTAAGATCGATGGCATATACAGAATACAACATCCTTCTTCATAAATTTGGCATTCAATCCTTAGAACAACGGCGTAAGCAATCAGCAGTTATAGTTTTATATAAAGTACTGCATAATCTAATAGGCTGCCCTACAATACTTTCACAAATACAGTTTCAGACTAACATCAAGGTATAATGTTCCTTTTTTATGTCAATGAGCTCAAACAAACTTATTGTCGAAAGCGCCTGTCAGCATGATGTGTGTGGATGCGAATAAAATAGCCGATGTATGTGACATATTCTTATGTAGCATAGGTGAATTGAAGTGCAAATTGCGTGCTCACTTTTGATTTATCTTACGTTTCTTATTTTTAAGCTGTAGCTATATTTATTTTTTGTTATTGATACATGAATTATTATTGTTTTTTTTCTTCACAAGCTACCTCATGGTGATTTTGTTTTTTTTTTTTATAGTAGTTTGCTCTGTAAATGGTGTTAAACTGTTGGGCAATAAACGCTTATTATTATTATTATTATTATTATTATTATTATTGTGCGTGGAAAACAAAATAAATAACGGGTGCGCCATCTTTTATGTCGGTATTGAAACATCGAATGACTTTGACCGAGTGATTTGGTTATACGTGTTTCTGAAACGTCAATTTACTACAATTTTACTCATGAATCGCTTTCTTGAGTACGGGATAATGGAAGATCGTCAACATACCATCAACGACCAAGACGTTCCAATAAATTGGATGAAGCGGTCACAGAACCCAAAAGTGTCGTTTCGACACCGCGCTCAGCATTTTGGCATAAGTGGAACCACGTTGTGGCGCATTTTGAAGGATGGTTTGCATTTGTTTCCTTATAAGGTGCAGTTAACACAAAAAAAATATTGCCAACTGGCTGTCCACATCGCTTGGAATACGCCCAAACAGTCCGTCGCATGGTTGATGCTGAACCTGATTTTTGGAAGCAAATTGTAGTAACCGACGAGGCCCATTTCACGCTCTCTGGCGGCGTTAATAAGCAAAACTGCCGCATTTGGGGGACGGAAAATCCACATGCGATCCACGAAATGCCGTTGCATGACCGAAAAGTGACTGTTTGGGCCGGCGTTTGCGCCAAAACCATCATTGGGCTATTTTTCTTGTGTGTAATGTTGGCTCATTATGTCTGCCCACAAATGCGTGAAAAAGGTCTTGATGGTAACTGGTTTCAACAAGACGGTGCGCCATGCCACACTGCAAATGAAACAATCCAGTTTCTGCAACGAAAATTCCAGATTTGACCCCACCGGACCGTGTTATTTGAAAAGTCAAGTGTACGCCAGCAAGCCCCAGACCACTGAAGAATTCAAGGCAAAAATTCGTACCGCACTCGCCGCTATACCACCAGAGATGCTCGAAAAAGTAACGAAAAACGCAGGAAAACCGCATTTTGTTTTGGCCAATAAAGGTGGCCACTTGATAGATGTTGTGTTCAAAAACTAGTAGCAATAAATTGTAAAGGACAATATTTAATAAAAATACCCGAAATATATGTAGAAATCAGTCTTTCGTTTTCAAAGTTATTTCATGTTTACATGCCGGCATAAAAGATGGCGCGCCCTGTACATAAGTACATTAAAAAAAATAAATGTTGGTTCCTAAATAAAGAACCATGATATATGTTATACAGCGTATGTTGCGTTGTGTATCATACATTACAATTTTATTATTATTATTAGACTCTCACTATTTTAACTCAAAACGGGTGTTTACATGTTAATTTCTTAACCTGAATTTTTCTTAACCAACATTTCATTTCCCATTTGAACTTATATATTTTGATTTTTGCAGGAGTTATTATACAGGTATTATTTAAGTACGTGGTCATACTTCAGGAGGCGATTCTTTGAGTAATTTTAAGATAAAAAGTTCATATAAAGATACGTCCAGAAATGCTTCATTTTCAGGATATAGGGTGTTAAACTTTTTTTTAAAAATTATCTTAAATATCTTAAACTTTCGGTCGATTTTGATCAAATTTAGCAGTGATATTAACTTAGCCCCAATTAGATTGAAATTATTATGTCGCGTGGGGTCCCGAAAAACACCTTAACCAATACCTTTGTCAAAAAATCTTTGCGCCACTGACTTTTTCAATTTTCCTATTTTTTCGAATTAAGCAGCTAAAACTTTTTTGATCCTGCGTTTCTTTCATGTCTCGCTTCGTTTGCGAGATAAAAAATAAAAAGCACTTCATTGAATGTTTTTGATAATTAAGTTTTTCTATTTGAAAAAAATAGTGTTTGTAACTTTTAGAAAATCATTGAAACGAATGTAAGGTCGTTTGCCTAAAAATCTTATTTTTCCCGTGTTACTTGATGAAAAATGAAACGATTTACAGGATCCATGGCGTTCTAGATCGAAAAATAAAAATTGAAATAAAAATGACTTTATTTGTCAAGTATTGAGATCAGAATGTCATTCTCGATCGGAATAAGGAAAAATATTAGGTTGTTCCGAAAGTTTTTGCGGTTTTTTGGTATTTATATTTTATTAAAATTTATTTGTAATACTTTACTTTCTATATCATTTTAAAGCGCGTTTTTCTTATCTACTCGTTGTATTCGTTTTGTTTTACGATAATTTGTTTTTTTTATGCACTTCAAATATAAGACGGACAACAGGCAAATTGGCACGATTTTCTTATTCCAGTTCAAATTAGGTCGAAAAGCTGCCGAGACATCTCGCGATATCAACGATACATTTGGCAAACGAACCACAAATGAACGTACGCACAATGGTGGTTAAAAAATTCAGTAGTGGTGACGAGAGTCTTGAAGCTGAAGAGCGCAGTGGTCGGAAACATGATGTCAACGAAGACAAATTAAAGGCCCTGGTGGAAGCAAACCCGCGCACAACTGTTCGTGAGCTAGCGGAGGCGTTTGATGGTGGTATTGCGACCATTTCCGACCACTTGAAACGGATCATAAGGTCAAAATATACTAAGTGACATATAAATCCGAACACCCAGTTTAAATGGTTTTATTTTAATAAAAGTTGGTGAATGTATTTATCTTACTGTAAATAACAAGTGAAAAAATTTTCAGCCTTATCAGTTGGACATTCCGGTTTTTATACTGTTTTTTTTTTAATTCACTAACGCTCTAAAAATGAATATTTCAGCCGCAGTAAAGAATCAACGTTGGCAGATTTTGGTTCTTGACATCCTTTACGATCGGTTACGATGCCTAGAGTACGGAGACCTGTACGATTTCGTCAACTTAGTGAGTTTGATAGGGGCCGTATAGTGGGACTTCGGGAAGCTGGACTTTCTTTTCGGGCAATTGCAGTTAGAGTGCAAAGAAGTGTAGACACTGTGGTTAGGTGTTGTCAGGCATGGCCGTACGCAAAGAGCAAGGGGCACTGGACGCCGCCGTAGAACAACAGACCGTGAAGATCGCCGCCTAAGATTATTGGCCTTAAGGGACCGTTTCTCCACTACCAGGTCCATTGCAAATGAATGGTTTGCAGAACACGGAAGAGACCTATTGGCATGCGAAGTGTTTACCGACGAATGAGAAGTTTAGGCTTGTTTTCATACCGGCCACACTGGGTCCTCCCTTTAACTCGAGAACACCGACGTAATCGCCTTGAGTGGTGCAGACAACGGTCACTCTGGGATCAGGAATGGAACAGTATTGTCTTTAGTGACGAGTCTCGATTTTGTTTAGGCATGCACGATGGTCGTGCCAGGGTTAGAAGGCGACGTGGTGAAAGGAGGAATCCACAGTTTTTTGTTGAAAGACATGTTCATCACACTGTTGGAGTTATGGTTTGGGGTGCTATAGCTTATGGTTCCAGGTCACCTTTAATCTTCATCAGAGGTAACATGAACGCGCAGCGTTATATCCACGAAGTTCTAGAACCCCATCTTTTACCCTATCTTGACACCCTGGCAGATCCAACTTTCCAACAAGATAATGCACGACCACATGTTGCGAGAGTCACAATAGACTTCTTTCAACATAATGATGTCACATTGTTACCATGGCCACCAATTGAGCACGTGTGGGATATGATGGGTAGGAGATTGCTCAATTTGCAACGTCCTCCTCAGACTCTAGAAGCACTTCGAGAGGAGTTGGTGGTTGCCTGGAATGAGATACCGCAGGAGGACATTGACCACCTGATCAGAAGCATGCCTAGGCGCGTTGGAGAATGCGTAGCACATCAGGGTGCATCCACACATTATTAAAGGTCAAAGGGCTTTAAAGCAGTGCAATCATTTTGAAATTTTTATCATTTACTTATTATGCTTCATTAAGTACTTATACAAAATTTTATTAAAATAAAACCATTTAAACTGGGTGTTCGGATTTATATGTCACTTAGTATATTTTGGTTAATAAAGTTTTGATAAAGCTGAGATATGCTCCTTTGAATTTGAAGGTTAAAAACAGCAAGAACTTTCCGAACAACCTAATATATAAGGTGTTCCATTCAAAAATCGAAAATTCGTTTTTTTACCGGTCAAACCGGAAGTACGTCAATCAATTGAATGTCAATAAAATGTAAATTCATCTATAATACGCAACCCCCAAATTTCGTTTTTCTTCAAAAATAAAGTTATAAGGGGGAGCCACCTTGGTGAACCACCCGGTATTTATGATTTTGAAAAAAGTACATCTAAAAGAATCACCCGTGAATTGATGTTCGTAAACGTTATATTACTTGTTCAACAGAGGATCCTGCGTCTGGAGACGTTCGTCCATCTCCGCAAGAGGGCGACGCTGTAAAACGGCCATCGGAAGAACCCGTTGATGGCGCGGGTGCCAAGAAGGCGAAGTGGGATGTTCCCCAGACAGCATCGGTCGTTCCACCAGTCCTCGAAGATGATCTCAGTGAAATTAGCGATGATGCTGATGAGATATTGAATAGAGATGAGGTAAGAGTGACATATCAATACATATTCTACTTACTAGTGAATATAATACAGGATGTAATTTAAATTAATTAATGGCTAAAAATACATGATATGATTCCTTAGCTCATTTTAGGAAGAAAAGTTTATATGAACATACAGTAATGAACAAAAAGTAGTAGTAGAAGTTTCTTGATATAAGATTCATCAATCTGTCTCCACTTTTGTTGTAAAGCGGCAAAAAGTTCATCCTTGTTTGAATAATTTTTATCTCGTATTTGCTTATCCAAGTATTCCCATAGATTTTCAATGGGGTTTATATCCGGAGACTGTGACTGCCATTTGAGAACTGGTATTTTTTCATCAAGAAAGAATTTCTTTGCGAGATTTGAAGTGTGCTTCGGGTCATGATCTTGCTGGAAAATTGATCTTAAGGGCATATTGTTTTCCATATAGGGTAACAAATTATTTAATCTTCTACTTATAGTTTTCGTAGAAACACTGACGATTACTTTTGTCTCGATTTCGGCTTTTATTTGTCTTGGGGTTTTAAATGGATCTTTGGACGAAATTACTTTTATTAATCTAACTGATCTAGCATTTAGTTTTCTAGGCCGACCACTTCTCTTAGAGGCTTCCAAGATACCTTTTTGTTTATATTTATTCAATATTGCCCAAACTGCTTTACGCTTCATCTTCAAATTTTTGGCAATGTCGACTTGACGTTGACCATCTTTGTATAACTCAATGATCTTAGTTTTCACATTGAAAGACATTTCTGGACCACGCGGCATGGTCTTAAAATCACTCAACTTATTCCACAAACTAATCCTCTTCTGACACGAAACTGTACTAAACTAATGTTGAAAAGAATTTTTATACATATTTTTGTCCCTCATAAAAAAGTGCTCATATTAAAACCTGTATTGTGTTCATTGCAGTTAATGTCAAAACAAGGAATTTAGTTCTTTACTAATAACGCATTTGTTTATGGAGCAATGAAGTATGAATTCGTTTTCTAAAGGTATTTAGGTAAATATTCATATTTGTCTATATACTTTTGTCAATTACTGTATGTCCTAAACCTCTTAAATTTTGACCTACAGGGTGCTGAAATTTTAAGAAAAAATTCGTTTTCTTATCATAACTTTAATACTGTTTTAGATATTTTCATTGAATTTGCCATGCACCTGATAAGCACCAATAGAAATTTTTTGATGTCGAATATTTTTTAATATTTCTACCATTGGCGCCCGTACGGGATGTATACTGGAGATTTAAAAAAATATGGTACGCTATTGCTTTTTCCGAAAATAAAAATCAATTTTGAAATCCTCATTTATTTTGCAACAAACTTGACCTCCTGTATTCCGATGTACCGTTTTCGCGTAAAAAATAAAAACCATTTTGGCTATTTTGATCAAATGACTTACTTGAATAAAAATTAAACAAAAACACATCTTACCTACAAACTACCACATGAGATTTTAGCCATTTTGCAATGACAGGAAATTAAAAACTATGACGTTTATGAATATTTGTCAACTTGCTAAAAATAATTTCGTTATACCGCAAATGCATGAAATTAGTTTTAATTTTTTACGCGAAAACGGTGCATCGGACGAGGAAAAGCCAAGAGGTCAAATTTGTTTCAAAATAAATTAGAATTTCAAAAATGATTTTTATTTTAATAAAAAGCAATGGCGTACCATATTTTTTTTAAAATCTCTAGTATACATCCCGTACGGACGCCACTGGTAGAAATATTAAACAATATTCTACATCAATAAATGCCTATTGATGCTTGTCAAATTTCATTAAATATCTAGAACAGTATTAAAGTTATGATAAGAAAACTAATCTTTTCTAAAAAATTTTACCCCTGTAGCTCAAGAGTTAAGACGCTTAGGACATATATATGTATGTTCATATAAACGAATTTTTTCTTAAAATTTTAACACCCTGTAACTCAAAATTAAGAGGTTTAGGACATATGTTCATATGAACTTTTCTTTCTAAAATGAGCTAAGGAATCATATCCTGTATTTTAGCCATCAATTAAATTACACCCTGAAGTTTATTAATTGCTGAAATTGGAGGAACTACGCGACTATAAGCAAAAGTTAGATAAAAATACGATGATTCAAACTACTGTCTTTTCTAAATTTTCTAGAGTATCACTCACAACATTGCGGGGCAGTATTGTAATCACGAAATTTTTCGAAAATTAAATATGTTTTTTGGGTGTTATATGACATGTACATCACGAAAAACCATGTCACTTATTTCCGTCGGCCTGTTTATCTGTCTGTCGGTATGTCCGATAATCTTACAACCGCCTATAACTTGAGAAGTACCGCTCTGAGTTCGTTGAAATTTTTACACAATATTACCTCTGTGTCAAGAATGTAAAGCTTTGTAGATTTTCAAAATCGGTCCAGTGGCAGCAGAGAAAAAAGCCTAAAACGACATATTTCGCACATAATAGATTTCTCTGTACAGGGTCGCCAACTAAAAATGCGAGATACTGTAACTGAGAACCTATCCATCGGCAAAAAAAGTTTCTGAAATAGCCGCTGGGGGCGTAACTACATTCTTGAATCTAACAAAGTGATGTTTCTGTGAATTCCGCTATATTAACCTAACAAAAATATACGCGATCTTTAAAGTCGAGGATAATTTGAACCTTTCTTCTTTGACAATTTTTGCTGTATCTCTAAAAGTAAAGTGGTGAGGGGTATTCAAAGGTTTCCATAAAAAACACCCTGCGATGGGCATGGAAACAGACTTCCTCTTCCAATCCACCGCTGTTGAAATCCTGCGATTATATGCTCTCGCACATTAATTGCAAAATGTGCTGGGCAACCATCCATCTGCAAAAAATAAGTTTTGCCGTATTTCCAGTAGCACATCTTCCAAGAAAAACGGTAATTTATTGTCAAAAAAATCAAGAAAGATATTGCCATTTAGGGATTGCTCGAAAAAATATGGCCCAATGATTCTGCCTCCCAGTATGCCACACCACACATTTCAACTCCAACGCCCTTGGTGCTGAACTTCACGCAACCAATGCGGATTTTCTGCAGAACAATAATGCATATTGTGCAAATTGACTCTCCCGTCACTGTTAAAGGTGGCTTCATTGGTCCAAAAAAATTTGAAATAAAAATTCTCAATTTTCGCGTAACATGCCTAACATCCAATGGCAATAGTCCAACCTCCGATCAAAGTCTTCCACCTTCAAGGCCTGATGCAAAACTACATGATATAGGTGCATTCTAAAAGTGATTAAAAAAAGTTGGATATAATAATAATAATAATAATAATAAATCGTCTTTATTTAGGGGGCGAAGTTTAGCATAATGCTACTCTGCCACTTAACCAGCCAAAAAAAAAAAAGAAAAATTGAAAAAACAATACAAAAAACATAAATACATTGGATAAGTTAGAAGATTACAAATTTAGGTGTATAAAAAATATGGTTGGGGTTTTCCTTTTCAGAAACAACTACCCTTGAAATAACAAAGGTAATGTGTAGTGAAACGTGGGCGACCAAGTAAAAAAAAAATAAAGGAAAAAGTACTCACTCTCCAGTTGACGAGAAGGGCTAAGTACGTCTCTGCCCGAAATCATACCGCTCCAACAGAAAATGAAATCAGCTGATGCGCTACCGAGCAGACGCACCATGCCAGCCCAAACATTCACCGAAAATGTTTGTTGAAAATGTGCCCGACGGACAGCGTGCGGATTTTCTACTGACCAAACATGAGTGTTGCGAAAGTTATTCACCCCATTACGCGTGAACATAGATTCGTTTGTCACCAATATGCACTTCAAAAAGTCCGGATTATAGTCATTTTGATGCAACAACCACTCACAAAACCGCACTCTTGCTGGAAAATCGTCAGGTTGAAGGGCTTGTACACGTTGGACGTGAAACGGATACAGTCCCTCTTCATGCAGCGTTTGCCACACTTTAGTTTTTGATACTTGCACTTTTCTAGCCACGTCTCTAGTGCTTGTTGAGGGATTCTCGTCTACGCGATTACCTCGCGTGACCGTAACCGTCGCCAGTGACATTGTACCACTCCGTGATGTCGCGATACAGGGCGGTATTCAGATATTTTTGATGTTGCAGAGCCCTTTATCTCGGTTCCCTTAAGACATTGGTGTACATGGTACTAAGAAAAATTGCTTATGTTTTCAAGATCTACACGTCGTGTAAAGAAAAACCCCAACTTTGCGGACACCCTGTATAAGTGAAGGCTATTCAATATTTCATGATTAAAAAGCATAAAATTGTAACAGTCATACAAAACAAAGGAATGCTATATTGGAAATATTTTTGTGTGGGGTGACAGATAAATGTTATCAACTAATTTATAGACTTCTATTCAAAATAAATTTCTTCATGTCTTTTAAATTCATCATATGATAGCAATTTTGTGGATCGAGGTAGAGCATTGTAAAATTTTTTCAGATTATTGATCAACCTACAACATGAGTTTTGGATTTTTTGGAGACGTGCTAGGGATATTGAGTCAATAAATGGAAGATAATCTAAATCGCAATAACTAATTTTGATAGATGTTATATCTTCATTTACCTCAGATTCAGCATTTCGAATGTCGTGATTATGGAAATGACTGTAGATTTGTGAATCGTCGGCAAAAAATTGGATATTACAATATTTAACAACTGAGTGGAGATCAGAAATATACAAAATGAATAGGAGTGGCCCAAGTACAGACCCTTGAGGCACTCCGGAAGAAGACATGAGGTACTTTGAAGATAGAACTATGTCAATGTGTACCCTTTGATATCGATTTCCTAAGAAGCTCTAAATCATTTTTGAGGCAGAGTCAGAAAAACCAAAATATTTGCACCTGGCTACTAGAACACGATGATTTATGGTATCGGACGCCTTAGAGAAGTCAAGAAGAACTAATGATGTGATCATATGTTGATCCCAGGCTCTAACAATGTTATCGGTTAAGTCTAATAGGGCACCTGCAGTGTTATATCCTTTTCGATAACCGCATTGTTTGGGAGGCATAATTTTATGTTTAGAGAGAAAATTTGGGCGTACATTGCTTTTTCTAATAATTTGGACAAAACAGGTAAAATACTAATTGGTATTAAATCAGAATATAATTTTGGCTTACTTATTTTAGCTAGAGGTAACACTAATGCTTCTTTCCATGATTCTGGAAGGAATCCTCTTTCTAAACAGGTATTTATGATGTGTAAAATATGATCTAAAATCGCAAAGAAGCATAGTTTTAGCATTTTGAGTGACACGCCATCGCTTCCTAAGGCATTCGATTTCAGAGACTGGAACATCGATTTTAAATCAGTCATATAGATTGGTTTAAACTTGAATCGATCACTAGAATAGTGATTCTTTTCATAATGCTCAATCTTCTCTGTGCATGAACAAATGGCGTTATTAAAAATGGAACAGAAATAATTATTAATGTCAGTAGGGTTCTTTAAATGTAGAGGAATATCGGTATTTTGTGAATGTTGGATACGCATTGATTTTAAGGATCTATAAAACATTTTTGAATCATTTTGTTGACGGAGGGATAATAAATATGCTGCTTTTTCATATCTAATTTGACTTAAAGTTGAATTTCTGAGCTCTTTGTAGCGATTCCAGGAATCTTCTGTCTTATTAATTTTAAACTGATTTAAAGCTCTGTCTCTGTCTTTCATCATACGTTTAAGCTGGGATGATAGTCAGGGTGCATGCGGTTTATTTACACGTACAATTCTTAGAGGCGCATGCTTATCAAAAATTAATTTTAGCCCATATGTCAAATATGAAATTTTGTGATCAATACTCTCTACGCAATATATAATGCTCCAGGGAAAGTTTAAAATATCATTTTGAAATGATAAAATATCAAAAATTTTAAAGTCTCTGAATTTAACGAATTTTTGCTTAGGTTTTTCAACACAATACTAAAAAATGATCGGTAAATAAATCCATATTTATAGTCCCAGAATTTGAACAGACTTGAAGATCATTGATAAATATGGGATCCAGTAGGCTGTTATTCTAGAGGGTTCTATAATAACTTGATGGAATCCATACGCATTAAAACAATTTTCTAATTGGTTGTCTGAACTTAAAAGATTTATATTCATATCTCCAACAACTACACATAATTAAAGTTGGGTACCAGAAAAGAGAGAGCATTATCAAAAAAATCAATGGCTTCATCAACATTGTTATGGGGAGGTCGGTAAATTACCCCAAAGGCAAGAGTTTGACCACATAATTTCAATTTAATCCACATATTCTCAACACTAGGAAAGTAGCCAATATCGTTCTCAATCTGTAATTCTTCGGATATCGAGTAACGTAAACACTTGCTACTGCGGCATTCTGAAGACATTCATAATAAACTGCAAGCATATCAACAGCTTCATCGTTCGTAAAACGCATTCGGTAAGCACAAAAATTGCTCAAAATATCGCGGAACTATGGACAACTATTGACAATATGAGGATTATGTATGTTTTGATTAGGTATTTGTTTTGTTGTATTCCATGACCTGCTGCTCTGTTTCGAATATACTCATAGTGAATATGCATTTAAACAAAAAATACAGGGTGTTTCAGAACTATGGGATCAAACTTTTAGGGGTTATTCAGTGTAACAGTAGAAAACATTTGAGTAAAGGAACCCATATCCGGAAAAGTGTCACTACGGCACTACGGCCCTAAGGCGCGTTAAAATTTAGAAAGACGATGAATTGCCTAAATAGGATTTAATGCATTCAATTTTTGCCTTTTGTACATGATATCATCACAACAATTATTATTAAAAATGTTTTCCTCCAACCTGAATACACCGATTTAAATGTTGCACATGATTTCGGCGGAGTTGACTAAAAATTTGATACTTGTTTTGAATGACATCAAATGCTACTGTAATTCGTCCAATTAAGTCTTGCTCTGTTTCTACTGGAGTTTCGTAAACCAAAGACTTTACATGTCCCCACAGGAACGGTGTATTCAGGTTGGAGGAAGACAGTTTGAACAATTGTTGTGATGATATCATGTACAAAAGGCAAAAATTAAATGCATTCAATCCTATTTAAGCAATTTATCGTCTTTCTAAATTTTAACGCATCTTAGGGCCGTAGTGCCGTAGTGACACTTTTCCGGATATGTGTCCTTATACTCAAATGTTTTCTACTGTTACACTGAATAACCCCTACAAGTTTGATCCCATAGTTCTGAAACACCCTGTATGCCTTTTGTTATTAGCATTACTTACTGTCCTTTTCGTGATATTTTGTCATATTTTCAAAAAGGCTGAGTTTATTGTCTGATGAATAAAAAAGAATTCCAGAAAAATTAGTTTAAAAAAAATAAAAATTTAAGGGAATTCAGTATAAAATTTTCTTTGGTCTAAATTTTATGTTAGGGCCAAGTTTCATTATTCATTTTTTTAAATAAATTTGAATTTAAAATATGAGTTACAATATTAGACGAAAACAAGATCTTAAATTAGTAGTACATAAAACCATACTTGTGAAAGACTCGATAATTTATAATGGTCGGAAAATTTTTGCGTGTATCTCTGATGCTATCAAAGGAAATTGACAATTTAAAGATATTCAGCTTTGAACTTAACTCTGTTAACATTCGTTCTTCTATTTTGCAGGAGATTACAGACGAAATGATAGAGGTGACGCCTGCATCAGGAGGACCTTTGGATGCGTCATCTAATAATCCGGGTGACCTAGCTTCCTTGAAAGATCAAAATGCATCAACTCCATCTCAGTCTTCAACAGGCCAGCAGCAGTCACAGAAGGATGCAGCGTCTGTGGACGGTGAAAATATGGAACTGGACTTTGAGGAGATCTCAGAGGATGAGTTGGAAGAGGAATCCAAGTGTAAAGGTAGATTGAGAATGGCATCTAGTAGACTGACTAGAGTCCTAGGTCAAACTCGTGAAAATAATATGTCAAAATGTCACTTTTCAAGATACGTAATACCCGTGCGGTCATGTGTCATAGCGTCAACCATTGTCTTTCACACTATGTGCCGTGTACCGACTCTGATCTCATTCTCGACTCAATCTGATAACAGAGATCTATTCATTCTTCACTATACATAAGTCTTTGTTGTTTGTTTCAGATTTATCTAGCATTAGTGCTAAAATGCCCATAATATCCATATTACACAGTATATCACAAAATATATTATGTCTTCAAGACTACATATTTTTATACAAAATTTCACTTCTATGAATTTTGGTTTTCAATGAGATATTTTTTCAATTTCCCTTTGAACATCCTCAAACTGACGCACATCTTGATATCATTACTTAATTCGTACAATCCCTTTTGAAATATTGACTTGCTCGTTATATTGCTACTGCAGTTTTGTAAATGAAAGTCTATACTTCCTCTAGTAGAATAATTGTGGCACTCATTGTTCAATACAATAAAATTTTCTAAGTGATTTGGTATAAGATGATTTTTTATTGAATATGAAAATGAAAAACAATTAGGCTACGAAATTTTTGAAATTTAACCTTTGTAGTTCTTTCAGCATAAAATTTATTCTAGTATATATTTTTATCTAAGATGATTCTCATAGCTTTATTTTGTAATATTTGTAATTTTGAAAATACAGTTTCATTTGCAGTGAACAATATAGTCGAACAAAGTAACAAAGGAGGCATAAACGCTTAGACTATGCGAAATTCTATAAAAGTAATTTATTTTCTTGGATATTTTTGAAACAATATATTCATAGTGCCCTTCAAATTTTAAATTAGTGTCTACGTATATGCCCAAATATTTAAATGATTCGATTGACACAATGTTTTCATGATTAATTGTAAGATTTATCGTATTTTGATCTAAAGATTTTCCTATTAGCATATATTTTGTTTTATGTTTAGTTTAAGTTTATTTACATTTAACCAATTTATTACGTTTTTCATATCATTATTTAACAGTTCTATTGCAGTTTCAATGTCTTTATTTGATATATATATATATATATAGGTGAAAAATTAAAGCTTCCGCTTTTTGTTGGGTACTTCGACAAGATTTAAGCAAAGAGGACTCTTTATACTTTTTTTAATTCTCTCTAGCTTTCAATGGACTTTGCCATCATCATCAGGAGCTGCAATTACAATGATAACAGTAGCAACAAAGGTGTAAAATGAATTTAAATTGACTCAACTTACAGTAGTATGTGAGAATGTTGCTAATTGTTGTTTATGATGAGGGAAACGTCCAGTAACATGGTGAGAGCTGAATAGGTTGCACAATAGTCAAAATTTATACAAAACATGACAAGAACACGTTAAAACAGATTAAAAATTATTTTAAAAATCAGAACATTACATCGTGAACACCACCTGATGATTTCACAAATTAGTGGTCATGGAATGATGAATTGATGAGTGACATGAAACCCTTTGACAGAAGGCCGAAGGATGTCAATGTCAGTATTGAAAGATGGAACGAATTGTGGGCGTGTGCAAAAAACGTTGCCAAATCACTTCAGATGAAGAGATTTACAGAATTTTATGATGGAATTTGTTAAACCGACCAGAGGCAGTTGAATAAACTATATTATTATTAATGGGAATTTAAATTAACAATTATTAATAAATCGTGAGGAGAGAATTATTATATTTTGAGTGGAATGAAATTTACTGGTGGAAACGGCCAAAACACAGATTCTAATTATGGTTGTGAAGAGTTGAAATTTGGGGAGATATGTAAGTTCTCCAATTTTTCGCAGTTTAGCAGATATGAGTAAATGACACTCAGTTGTTTAACATCTGTCTTTTTGTTGATACAGTTGTTATTCATGAAAATGTGGGACATTTCCAGGAATAAACGTTTGGAAAGGTGTTTTTCTTTATCAAGAACTTTGATACTTGTGTAATTCATAGAATGCCCTGTTGTGTTAACATGAGATGCTAGAGCGCATCTTTCAGGATGAAGCCTAGCATCACTTTTGTGTGATGTAATCCTTCCTTTAAGAGATCTGGAGGTCTGACCTATGTATATTTGGTTGCAGTTGTTGCAATTGATGGAGTAGACTGTGTTGGTTAAGCCAAGCAGCGGGACTTTGTCTTTCATTTTTGAAAAAATGCAGTTTATAGTGAGGACGGATTTGCAAGCAATTCGAAAGTTCAAAGGACTGCACAATCTGATAAGCTTAGGGGTCAGTTCCTTGATGTAGGGCAGGACAGCAAAACCAGGTCTGGAGTCCGGGTTGGTGCTAGTACTGTTAGGATTGATGTTATTATTGGGAATTACATCAGTTCCGTTATTGGGGGTTGTGCGACTATTACCTGCATCACCAGAGTTCGGCAAAATATTGGAAGGTGAACTAAAAATGATCTTGTTAATCAGACACTTCGGATAACCATTATTGATGAACAGTTTTGATAGTTTACGTAAATTTGAGGTGTGGAAGGTATTATCTGAGATGCTGATTACCCTTGTTTTCATCTGTTTTACCAAATTGATTTTAATCCCTAGTTTATGGTATGACCTAAAATTGAGAAACCGACCTGAGGCCATAGGTTTCTGGTACCAGTCTACCAATAAACTGTTGTTGTTGGTGCGAATGAGTCTTGTGTCTAGAAAGGGGACAGACAGGTTCTCATCTTCTTTTTCAATGGTAAATTGGATGTAGGGGTCATAGCTGTTGAATTCTCTGACAATACCATCCAGACCTATGGAAGGGAGGCATAAAATAATGTCATCTACGTATTTTTTTATGAAGAAGAGGTTATAGGGTAATGTCGGAATAACTGTATCGAGCAGATCATCCATGACATATTCCGCCAAAATTGGTGACAGAACAGATCCCATAGGACAACCATGTGTTTGAGAATATATTTTGTTGTTGAAAGAGAAATAATTGTTATGAAAAAGGAATGTTATAATGTTGGTGAAAGATTCTAGAGATATGTTGCAGTGTTGACTTATCTCATTCCAGTGTTTATTAATAGTTCTTGTACATGCATCCAGATAGATGTTGCTGAACAGCGACACCACATCAAGACTGGCGATAATATGATCGGCTGGTATTGTCAATCTATTGAACTGACGAGAGACCTCAAATGAGTCTTTGATGTAGTAATCATTGTCTGCATGTGCTGATTTTAGTGTTGTCGATATTAATGAAGACAAAATATCGACAACACTAAAATCAGCACATGCAGACAATGATTACTACATCAAAGACTCATTTGAGGTCTCTCGTCAGTTCAATAGATTGACAATACCAGCCGATCATATTATCGCCAGTCTTGATGTGGTGTCGCTGTTCAGCAACATCTATCTGGATGCATGTACAAGAACTATTAATAAACACTGGAATGAGATAAGTCAACACTGCAACATATCTCTAGAATCTTTCACCAACATTATAACATTCCTTTTTCATAACAATTATTTCTCTTTCAACAACAAAATATATTCTCAAACACATGGTTGTCCTATGGGATCTGTTCTGTCACCAATTTTGGCGGAATATGTCATGGATGATCTGCTCGATACAGTTATTCCGACATTACCCTATAACCTCTTCTTCATAAAAAAATACGTAGATGACATTATTTTATGCCTCCCTTCCATAGGTCTGGATGGTATTGTCAGAGAATTCAACAGCTATGACCCCTACATCCAATTTACCATTGAAAAAGAAGATGAGAACCTGTCTGTCCCCTTTCTAGACACAAGACTCATTCGCACCAACAACAACAGTTTATTGGTAGACTGGTACCAGAAACCTATGGCCTCAGGTCGGTTTCTCAATTTTAGGTCATACCATAAACTAGGGATTAAAATCAATTTGGTAAAACAGATGAAAACAAGGGTAATCAGCATCTCAGATAATACCTTCCTCACCTCAAATTTACGTAAACTATCAAAACTGTTCATCAATAATGGTTATCCGAAGTGTCTGATTAACAAGATCATTTTTAGTTCACCTTCCAATATTTTGCCGAACTCTGGTGATGCAGGTAATAGTCGCACAACCCCCAATAACGGAACTGATGTAATTCCCAATAATAACATCAATCCTAACAGTACTAGCACCAACCCGGACTCCAGACCTGGTTTTGCTGTCCTGCCCTACATCAAGGAACTGACCCCTAAGCTTATCAGATTGTGCAGTCCTTTGAACTTTCGAATTGCTTGCAAATCCGTCCTCACTATAAACTGCATTTTTTCAAAAATGAAAGACAAAGTCCCGCTGCTTGGCTTAACCAACACAGTCTACTCCATCAATTGCAACAACTGCAACCAAATATACATAGGTCAGACCTCCAGATCTCTTAAAGGAAGGATTACATCACACAAAAGTGATGCTAGGCTTCATCCTGAAAGATGCGCTCTAGCATCTCATGTTAACACAACAGGGCATTCTATGAATTACACAAGTATCAAAGTTCTTGATAAAGAAAAACACCTTTCCAAACGTTTATTCCTGGAAATGTCCCACATTTTCATGAATAACAACTGTATCAACAAAAAGACAGATGTTAAACAACTGAGTGTCATTTACTCATATCTGCTAAACTGCGAAAAATTGGAGAACTTACATATCTCCCCAAATTTCAACTCTTCACAACCATAATTAGAATCTGTGTTTTGGCCGTTTCCACCAGTAAATTTCATTCCACTCAAAATATAATAATTCTCTCCTCACGATTTATTAATAATTGTTAATTTAAATTCCCATTAATAATAATATAGTTTATTCAACTGCCTCTGGTCGGTTTAACAAATTCCATCATAAAATTCTGTAAATCTCTTCATCTGAAGTGATTTGGCAACGTTTTTTGCACACGCCCACAATTCGTTCCATCTTTCAATACTGACATTGACATCCTTCGGCCTTCTGTCAAAGGGTTTCATGTCACTCATCAATTCATCATTCCATGACCACTAATTTGTGAAATCATCAGGTGGTGTTCACGATGTAATGTTCTAATTTTTAAAATAATTTTTAATCTGTTTTAACGTGTTCTTGTCATGTTTTGTATAAATTTTGACTATTGTGCAACCTATTCAGCTCTCACCATGTTACTGGACGTTTCCCTCATCATAAACAACAATTAGCAACATTCTCACATACTACTGTAAGTTGAGTCAATTTAAATTCATTTTACACCTTTGTTGCTACTGTTATCATTGTAATTGCAGCTCCTGATGATGATGGCAAAGTCCATTGAAAGCTAGAGAGAATTAAAAAAAGTATAAAGAGTCCTCTTTGCTTAAATCTTGTCGAAGTACCCAACAAAAAGCGGAAGCTTTAATTTTTCACCTAACTGGTCTAGACGACAATGACCACGTCTCAAGTTATATATATATATATATATATATATATATATAACTTGAGACGTGGTCATTGTCGTCTAGACCAGTTACTTTAATTCTCTCTTGCTTTCAATGGACTTTGCCATCATCATCAGGAGAGTAGTATGTGAGGATGTTGCTAATTGTTGTTTACGTATAGGATGAGGGAAACGTCCAGTAACATGGTGAGAGCTGGATACATGGTACAATGGTCAAAATTATAATATTTTGTTACTGGACGTTTCCCTCATCCTATACGTAAACAACAATTAGCAACATCCTCACATACTACTCTCCTGATGATGATGGCAAAGTCCATTGAAAGCTAGAGAGAATTAAAAAAGTATAAAGAGTCCTCTTTGCTTAAATTTTGTCGAAGTACCCAACAAAAGGCGGAAGCTTTAATTTCTTATATATACAGGGTGACTTCGAAGTTGAGTCATTTATTTTAACAGTGAGTAGATCTGATCAAAAGAAATGTTTTTTTCCTTTACCATTTTTCTGGTAAAATTAAAGTAACAAAGTTATAGCCCTTTGGAAGTTTGAGTACTGCCCCGTCTCAATAATCATATGTTCGTGTTTGGCGACAACGGATATAATCCGCCTGACCGGTTCATCGCATCGGAAACAAAAAAGCGAAAGAATTTGAAACGTTTATCACGATGTTTTTCGTCAGTCGATAACGCGTTAGTGATTAGTAGTGTTTGTTGCGTGGCTCAAACGAAATCAAAAATGGCACATGTTTACGAAAATGCTGAACTTGTGGACATGATTCTTATTTACGGGGGGGCAGTCTTTACAAAATGCTCCCGGATGCATCACGGGTTTATGCGAATCGGTTTCCCAATCGAGTGCAACCAACCCCTCGTGCCTTTGTTAATGTAGTACAAAGGGCTCGTGAATCAGGTGACTTAAGACTTCACAGGTCAGGGCATGCTGCTCCAAGACCGCACGATCAAATACAGGTCCGCACTGAAATACTTGTCGAGACGATACTTTATTAAACAAGGTAAGATTTTTTTTATTTATTTTTTTATTTTTACACACATATTTTGGATTATCTTCCTTCTACAATCATTATCTGAAAATTAATGACTCAACTTCAAAGTCACCCTGTATATATATATATATATATATCAGGTAGGTGAAAAATTAAAGCTTCCGCCTTTTGTTGGGTACATCGACAAAAATTTTAAGCAAGGAGGACTCTTTATACCTTTTTTATTCTCTCTAGCTTTCAATGGACTTTGCCATCATCATCAGGAGCTGCAATTACATTGATAACAGTAGTAGCAATAGTGTAAAATGAATTTAAATTAACTTAACTTATGGTGGGTTCATGCAAGACTTAACGTAACTTGACTTAAGAAAATGGGCATTTAAAGCGCATGCGCGGCCAGGATTGCCAATGTAGCAATGGCGACAATATCAACATTAAACACACTAACAAAATCATATGTTTAACGTCAAGGTAGCAGATGAAAGAGTGTTTTGTGGCTTTTGTGTTACCTGGACTGGCGGACCAGCCTTGACATTGGCAAGTATCAACTCCCCACACGCTTGCGCCAATGCACTGGTAATTAGTCACAGAACTCGGATAATAGTCCAGATAATATCGGAACATCTGCTCGGAAAAATCTTCGAAAATCGATTTTTGCATAATCTGATTCAAAGACATCTGTTAAAGAATCTGCATGTGACTAGGCCCTAAATTGCTCCAAAAACTGTTATTAAACCGGTTCCAAAAATTGATTTGTTCGCCTTGTTTAAGGGATTTTGCAGTTTTTAGGACATTCTGAACAAAAAATGAGCTTTAGAACTTTTCTCTAGACTTGATATGTATAAGCAATGTAAAAACTCAAAATATGTCATTTGCTACAACAAAAATAATATGAAAAATGAATATTTTGATGTTGCCAAATCTCACACATGCTTCAACCAACCAATAACAAAACTTCCAGAGCATTTTAGGGAGTATAGTTATTGTAAATATTTGCATAGTAATTGTGAATTGAATGCGCGCTCAACGTATAGTTTATGTCTATGTCAACGCGAGAGAGACATGAAATATCTCTCGTGCACCCTGAATATACATTGAGCGTCCGCTTGCTTATCAATTGAATACAAAGGTTTACAATAACAGTATCTCCTAAAAGGTATCGCAATTGTGTTAATGATTATTTATGAAGCATGGCGACATTAACATTTTCGTTTTTTCAGATCGTTTTTCGGTATCACAAAAGAAATTTTCTATACTTTCCCATCTCGTACAAAATCAACTATAGACAAACATTGTCAAACATCGTTTTGTTTCGGAGTATCAAAAAAAAAAAACGAATACTACCTTTGATGAAGCGAAAACGTTAATTTTTGGAATTTATTTGAAAAAGTTGTACAAACAATTAGAGACGCAATTTGGAGCCTGACAACATGTAGATTTGTTACTAGGAGGCTTTTTCGAATAACATGCAAAAAGTCCGAAACCGAATATTTTCCTGAGCAGATGTGAAGATATTTCTTGGACTATAACGACGGCAGCGCTAACTTTCTTGGATGGAAATCTGGTGGAACTAAAAATATTGAAAGTATGCCGACAATGCATATCAGGAATGTCAGGAATGTGTCGGCGATTTCATTTGTTTACATTACGAAATCTGACTGATGATCTTCCCGATATTGAGGCAGTTCGATGATCATAGATGCATAGCACATCCTCAATAAAGGAAGTATTTCTTTCATCAGTTTGGCTAGTAATGAATTTCAGGATAATAAAAAAATGTATAATTAAAAAAATATTTATTGAACAGTCCCAACAATAATAGAACAAATTCTTCATTACAATAAATTGTACATACATAGAAGTATTCTACTCATCTGGATTTTTCTCTATATTATGAACCTGATCAGTGCAATATCATGCAAGCACTATCTCTTGTTAATTGATCATGTATATTTATTGCGAAAACATAAATACTAAAATAACAAAAAACACATCTGTAGTTAGAGGACTGACTGGAATACAAATATAATCACTCTGATATGTGAATCAAAAATAGTTTTGCACACACTGTTAATGGGTAAAGGCAAACAAAATTGTACTCAACAAAAAAAAAAACACATAAAACACTAATTGTTTCTTCAAACTAGGAAACAAACTCCTTATGTCATTGTCAATTAATTTGGTATCCATAAAATAAATGACGATCTTCAATCCAACTGTCTCCACGAAGAATGTTGACACTGTGAAAGAAAAAAAAATTATTAGCATAATATCACTGTCATATTTGGTCAGCAAACACTAAATAGAAACATAGTCATCTCACCACGCCCCTTCAGATGATACTGCTCTGTACATTTGAATAAATTCCCAATCTAGCAGTATACATTTGATTGCCAAAATTCTTTGTGTAAACAAATTTTCATTGGTGATACCAAACACCAGTCCTTAATTTGGCCCTTTACCAGATTTGTTATTACCAACAGTACAGATGTCACAAAAAAAGTTACGTGCTACTCATCTGTTTACCTCAATAAACGTCAAAAGAGATTACATATTTGCTGGGCTGCGAATACACAGCATTCGCCAGGTGTACACCTGTTCGTAGTTAATGACAAAGTACCTTCACAGTGTTCTGTGAGGTTTTGGAAAAACATGTCATGGGGGGCATGGTATAGATTTAAATTCTCATTTTTCTTCTGTAGGGGCTATAATTTGCCAACATCACCACTGGTACAGTCTCAGACATGAAAGTGTTTGCATCTATCAGCTATGAAGTCAGTACTACAAGCACAAAATTTTAAGATCATTTCCATTTTTTTTCTTTCTCTAGACTAGAATATAATTTCAAAATCCTCTATCTTGGTAAGAGGCAATTTAGGACCCATGTTTATTTTTTTCATGCTGTTTTTTGATCTACTTTATGCTGCAGCAATACTGATATGTTTTGCTGAAACTACCACTATACGCACTTTGTTAGTTACCCTCTGGCGGCGTAACATGTGGAGGACACTGGTGTAGAAACAGCTGATCCTTAAATTCGGTTACGTTAAGTCGTGCATGAACCCGACATTACAGTAGTATAGTATATAATAACAGAATTGATAGAATTCCCAACAACAACACCAATTCAGTACAACCACCATCCCAAATTCCAGATCTGGCTTTGCTGTCCTACCCTATATCAAGGAACTGACCCCTAAGCTGATCAGATTATGCAGTCCGTTGAACTGTCGAATTGCTTGCAAATCCGTCCTCTATAAACTGCATTTTTTCAAAAATGAAAGACAGAGTCCCGCTGCTTGGCTTAACCAACACAGTCTACTCTATCAATTGCAACCAAATATACATAGGTCAGACCTTCAGATCTCTTAAAGGAAGGATTACATCACACAAAAGTGATTCTAGGCTTCATCCTGAAAGATGTGCTCTAGCATCTCATGTTAACACAACAGGGCACTCTATGAACTACACAAGTATCAAAGTTATCGATAAAGAAAAACACCTATCCAAACGTTTATTCCTGGAAATGTCCCACATTTTCATGAATAACAACTGTATCAATAAAAAGACAGATGTTAAGCAACTGAGTGTCATTTACTCATATTTGCTAAACTGCGAAAAATTGGAGTACTTACACATCTCCCCAAATTTTGACTCTTCACAACCATAAATGGAATCTGTTTCTTGGTCTATTCCACCAATAAAGTTCATTCCATTCAAATTTTAATAATTTTTTCCTCACGATTAAATAATAACTGTTAATTTAATTGCCCATTAATAAAGTATAGTCAATTCAACTGCCTCTGGTCGGTTTGACAATTTCTTACCTAACACATTTTGAAAATCACATCGTCTGAAGTGATTTGGCAAGGTAGCACACGGCCACAAAAGAATTCGTTCCATCATTCTACACAGACACTGATAACCTTCGGCCATCTGTCAAAGGGTTCATCTTACTCATTATTCCATGCCCACCATTTTGTGCAATCATCAAGTGGCTTCACGATGTAGTGCTTTCATGTTCTAAAAATTTTTAATCTGTTTTTAACTTGTTCTTGTCACACAGTTGTGTGTATTTTATATAATTTTGACCATTGTACCATTTATCCAGCTTTCACCATGTTACTGGGTGTTTCCCTCATCCTGAACGTAAACAACAATTAGCAACATCCTCACATACGTAAGTTAAGTTAATTTAAATTCAATTTACACTATTGTTGCTACTGTTATCAATGTAATTGCAGCTCCTGATGATGGCAAAGTCCATTGAAAGCTAGAGAGAATAAAAAAAGTATAAAGAGTCCTCCTTGCTTAAGATTTTTGTCGAAGAACCCACAAAAGGCGGAAGCTTTAATTTTTCACCTAACTGGTCTAGACGACAATGACCACGTCTCAAGATATATACAGGTATATAACGTATATATATATTAATGAATCATCAGCAAATAGCTGAATTTTGCAGGGTTGTAAAATATCAGGAATATCGTTAATATTTAAAATAAATAGTAATGGACCTAATTTGCTACCCTGTGGCACACCTACCTAAATTTGGATATCCTTGTTTCGACCATCGCCTAGGTGTCAATCGTCGCAGCCTTTGGATGTTGCTACCATTTATGCTTTTATACGATTGTTACTTGAATAGTTGTTACCTTTACAGGAATTGGCGATGCTCTGGGTGTCGATTGGGCAAGTTTGGTAGCCGAGTCAAGACCGAGACAAAAACCTACGAGTTCCGCTAAGTTGCGATGGGAAGGCCATAATGTTCTTCTGAGTCTTGGAGTGTCTGTTAGACTAGCAGGTAAATATATTACCGTTTATGATTGATGACAAACACATACAGGGTGACTCAACGAAAAGGTCGCACCTCGATTTGTGACTCTCCTGATATATTTTGGGAAAAACGCTCTGACACATCATTTTTGATTTCTAGGTTTATAGCTGTACAATTACAGGATGATCCAAAAATGAGATATTGCGTTACATTTTAGATTTTTAAATGAAAATCCCATTTTTTTTTAATTTTCAGATTAAGTTTTTAGAAACTTTTGTGTAATAAAGTTTATACCTATCTTCAATCTTTGTGAAGCTATTTGAGTTTATAACAAAATTCGATTAACCCAATACTGGTAATAATGGAATGCATCACACAAAATAATAATCATGCATACCAGCAAGAACATTTAACAGCAGTCAGTGTCATCGTATGTTATAGAAAAACTTTGTCTTTCATTTCAAATTAAGTTCCATACGTAGTTGTGATAAATACTGAACAATAACTTATTGTTGTTGGAGATTTATTTAGCATTAATGCTACAATGTCAATTTTGTATAATGATTCGGTTACATATTTTTCTTCAATCCATTTTCTGTAATTTTACATTCTTGTCTTTAAAAATTAAACTTACGTCACTATGTATTTTGATTATTCCTAAAGTGATTTTTTAATTTCACCTTAAACATTTTTAATTTCGCACTCTGTTTAATATCATTATTCAGTTTTATTAAATTGAAATACTCCCTTCTGAAATATAGATTTACTAGTTATGCTACTATTACAATTTTGCAGATGAAAATCTATACTGCCTCTAGTTTCGTAGTTATGATAATGACTATTTAATTTTGTGAAGTGCTCTAAATGTGGTGGTAATAAATGAGTTTTTAATTTGAATTTGAACACTAGCATATTTGTTTTTATTTAAATTGATTCTCATAGCTTTATTTTGTAGAATTTGTAATTTTGAAAATATGTTTTCATTTGCTGGAAACAAGATGGTTGAACAATATAAAAAAATGGGGAAGAATTATAGTGTTATACACATTTTTTTTGGAATACATACTAAGATGATGAGAAACTCTATAGAAGTACTTTATCTTTTTAGATATTATTGAAATAATGTATTCATAATGTTTGTGAAACACTAGCTTACTATCCACATATATACCAAGATATTTAAATGACTCGACTACTTCAATTTTTTCATCATTAATCATGAGTCTAATTGTATTGTCACCTAAATATTTCCCTATTGACATACATTTTGTTTTATTAGTGTTTAATTTACGTTTATCGACATTTAACTAATTCATAATTTTTTCAATATCACTATTTAACAGTTCTAAAGCAGTGTCCAAATGCTTATATGCTATTATATAAGTGTATCGTCCGCAAATATTTGAATTTTGCAGTGTTCTAAAATGTCAGAGATTTCATTTATATAAATAATAAATAGTAACGGCCCTAATTTACTCCCCTGTGGCACCCCTCCTGATATATTTTGAACAGTTGACATAATATTTCCAATATTCAGTTTAAGAAAGGGTAGAAATAACAAAACTGTATTACCAAAATGAGAGCATTGCAAGAGCTACTGCTTGGTTGTTTAATGCGTTACATCCCGACAAAAATATTAATGACAAGTATGTGGCTAAGTTGATAAGAAAATTTGAAGAATCTGGATCTGTGTCTAATATTCGCCATAATCGCCATCGAGAAAATTGACCAGTTAGAAATGAAGCCGCAGAAATAGCAGTTTTGGGACACGTAGCACTTGACAATACCCAAAGCACTCGTGGACTGGATACTTTTCAGGATTTACACGCTTGACAGTACAAGGAATTTTGAAGGACAATAAATTTCACCCGTACAAGATAAAACTTGTCCATGAGCTTAATGAAGACGATTTTGATAGGAGGTTGGAGTTTTGCTAATTAATGTCCCAATGTTTAACCAATAATACAAATCTGGATTAGTGCTCTAATTTTGAGCATACTTTTAAAAGTTTTAGTTCTACTGATAAATAGAAAGCAAAATAGCTGGGATATCCCACCTTAGTGTTAATTATGTGTGTTCGCTACACAATCGTTAAGTCGTCGCGGCATTGATTGGATTAGGTGATTGATACCTTCTTGGTGCATTGTATCCCAGGCCGTCTGAATTTGGTTTCTTAGAGCATGCAGTTCTGTGGAAGGTATGGTGAATTTTGCAACCTTCTTCCCATCTTGTACCATACATGTTCGATGGGGGAAAGGTCTGGAAATCCAGGAGGCCACTGAAGCAAATTTACTCCGGACGCTTCTAAAACGTCCAAACTAACATGTGCGACATGAGGTCGTGCATTGTCCTGCCGAAAAAGTGTGCAGTATGGTAAGATCATACTGTATAATATATTGCTATTATAAACTTGTTAGGTATTGCATTGGAATTCACCGGAAATGCTGCGCTAGGCAGTGGAATTACCAAGGTACCTTGCAGTACATCAATATGTACATTTTTAGACAGAATAAAGTAAATCATCCTGAAATCAAGTTGTGTTATTAAGGGCACGAAAGCCCGAAATAGATAAATCTATTACAAGTGGATCTTGCAATGTTTACAAATAGGGAAGCAGATATGGTTGTAAAACTTTGTGGATATAGCGCTGGGCAGTCATACTTCCTCGAATGAACACTAATCGTGACCTGCTGCCGTAAGCAATGGCACCCCATACCATAACACCCACAGTGCGATGAATATGCCGTTCGATGGAATATTGGATGGTCTTTCATCACGTCTCTTTCTTCTATTGCACCGAGTTCCATTCCATATTCCATTCAAGTCTCTCCCTACTCCATACCAATCGTTGCCGTCGATGTTGTGGGGTCAGAGGTAGTACAAGATGGGGACGGTGTGAAAACAGTAAAAAAGACTGTATTCGGCGATAAACTGTCCTCATTGTTATTGCCCTTCCGACAACATCAACCAGTGGTTCGCAACTGCCCTTGTTGTGGAAGACCGATCGAAGTGTTGCCTCAAATAACGATCCTGGCGCTCTGTAATGTCTTTGACGTCCAATACCGCTAACTCGTCGATTTCGGCCTTCTTGGAACCACGCTCGACAACATCTCATTACACTAGCTTCGTTTCGATTCAACCGATTAGCGATTTCTCTAAAAGAAAATCCGGCTTCTCGCAACCCGATTATCCGACCCCTCTCAAACTCGGAAAGTTGAGTGAAATTAGCGCCCCTGCGAACTCTAGACATGATAATGCAATGAAACAACAAGAGACAAATGGAACCAATACAGAAAAATCACTGAATATTAGGTAAACATGTTCATATTGTTCGGATTCTGATATGACAAAGAAGTCTTTACAAAAAAAGTACTGCTCGGAATGCCTTCAACATTTTATCAGCGTATACTTCCATGATAGCAAATATGTTTACATGTCACTTAGTATATTTGTTTCTTGGATGAGTGTACGTTCTATTTACATGGTGTTATAAATAGACATAATTGTCGATACTGGAGTGACTCGAATCCATATTTGTTTCGAGAGGTACACTCGCAATATCCTGAAAAAATAAATGTGTAGGCCGGCATTTTCGTAAATCATATTGTAATATCTTTCTTTATTCCTGGAAACTTGACGGATGAGACGTACTTGGACATGTTAGAAAATACAATAGAGCCACGAATTACGGAAATAATAGAAAATGACGTTAATTATAATGACAATTACATTCATTTGCAACAAGATCGCCGCTCTATGTGGCTCTCCAGTACGAAAGTTTTTGGACACCCATTTCCCGAATCAGTGGATCGGCAGACGAGGCCCCATCGAGTGGCCGCCGAGATCTTCGGGTCTAAGTCCTTTAGATTACTTTCTTTGGGGGCATTTGATAAGTGAAGTTTTAAGTAGCAAGCGAGATTCGATTACGGCTGAATGTAGACAAATAACTCAAGACATGCTTGAAAATGTGAGAAATAGATTCGAACAAAATCTTTATTATTGCATGGAGGTAAATAGGAATATACATTTTGCACTTAATAAATTGTTGTTTAGAGCGCGGTGTTTTTCCAAGTTCTTGGAAGGAAGCATTAGTGCAACCTCTTCCAAAGATTCCCAATCCCCAGGTTCCTGGTGATCTCCGACCTATTAGCTTGCTGTCAGCTCTATCAAAAATTCTAGAAAAAATAGTTTACATGCAGTTGAATGAGTATTTACTCGAACGCAGCATTTTGCCATTAAATCAATCAGGCTTTAGAAAGGGCCACAGTACCAGTACTGCTTTGGCACGGGTTTGTGACGATGTACTAACAGCGGCGGATAGGCAAGAAGCAACTGCATTAGTCTTATTGGATTTCAGCAAGGCTTTTGACACCCTGAATCATAAGCTGTTAGTTTCTAAATGTAAATACATTGGGTGTGACGACTTGGTTCTGGAATGGATAGATTGCTATTTAAATGAATGACATCAATATGTTGTCATACAAAATAAACTTTCAGACAAAAGGCCGATTTGTTCCGGCGTGCCTCAGGGATCCATATTAGGTCCACTTTTATTCCTTATATACACCTTTGACATTTCTAACACCCTTCAACATTGTTCTAGTCAAACATATGCTGATGATATGCAAGTTTTTCATAATTTCTGTCCGAACAACTACCATTTAGCTAACAACCTTATCAATCAAGATCTGCAATACGCATCGAAATCGACAGCTATACTTTTTTTGCTCCAAGAAAAAATGTACTTTCCTCAAATCAAAGTTAAATTTATCACTAAATAATAGTATTATAATATTTTCCCATTCTGCAAAAAAATTAGGTTTGTACTTGGATGAAGATTTCAGATTTCAGGAGCATGTGGCTATGTGTGTAAGTCTATTTATTTTAGACTCAGGCGTCTATATGCAAGTAAAACTGTTTTAAATAGAAAAATTAAGAAAATGTTATGCGAGTCACTCATACTCAGTAAAGTCGCTTACTGCAACATAGTTTATTATCCCTGTCTGGATGAAATCACAAAATACAGACTGCAAAAAATTCAAAACTCATGTAGTCGTTACATAAACAATTTAAGAAGGTACGATCATGTTTCTCACTCAATATCTTCAATGAATTGGTTGAAAATTTCTGATCTTTTCAAATACAACTTTGTTACATTTGTCGTAAAAATATTAAAAACTTTTGCAAAAGCTTGTTCGCAGGAATTTAATTCACAATTTGAATACGCGCAACATTAATCTCCTGACAATGCCACAACATAGGACAGCCATTTTTCAACGGTCTTTTACGTATAATGCGGTGAAATTGATCAACTCTTTCGAACAATGTTTCATCAGCAACTTTTCTAAAAAAAAATATAAGAACTACTTATTGAGCTCTTAGGTTATTGTCTTCTCTTTGAATCGTACGTATTATGTTTTTTGTTCTAATCGTACGCATTATGTCATATTTATTAATTCTTCTTTTACTATTATTCTTCTTTTTCCTTTTCTTTTTCAGTTTTTTATTTTATTTTTAAGGTAGTAATAAGCATTGACATGACATTTATGGTTAAGTATAAATGGCCATTGGCCAGACTTCGCCATTTGTAAGGATACATAATTATGTATGTGTTACAATAAAGTCCATTGAATTGAATTGAATAGACTAGCACTCATTACCATATTGACCTACCTCTTTATAGCAAATTAATTTTTACTTTAACTTTAACGTGCGTGTGAACTGTAAGTTGTGTTTTGTTTTTTTAGTACTCGGATACTTGTTTTTAATTTTAAAGTAATGTCTTGGTACTGTGGTGTCCACTTTAAGCATTTATTACCACATTGACCTACCTCTTTATAGCAAATTAATTTTTACTTTAACTTCAATGTGCGTGTAAACTGTAAGATGTTTTTTTTTAATCCTCGGAGACTTGTTTTTAATTTTGTCTTGTTTCTATGCGAACTATATTATTTTTACTATATATTCCGTTATTTTCAGAACATCTAGAATTTTATTATATTATATAGCTTCAAAACGATTGAAGATAGGTATAAACTTTATTATACAAAAGTTACTAAAAACTTCATGGAGAATTAAAAATAAAAAAAAAATGAGATATCCATTTAAAAAGTCTAACACAATACCTTATTTTTGGATGATTGTACGGCTGTAGATGAAAAAACGTCCCTCTAGAAATCAAAATTCACGTGCCCGAGCATTTTCCCCAATATATACCAGGAGAGTCACAAATGGGAGTGCAACCTTTTCGTTGGGCCACCCTGTATGTAAATTCGACAGAGATAGCTAAACTAGTTATTTAACATCATAAGCACCAATCAGTAAAAATATACAAAGAAAACATTTTCAAAACCAAGCTTTGATCTGGACATAAAAAATAAAAATTGGAAGATTTTTCCGATTGGAAATATGCCATTTCATTTGAAAACTTGAGACGTAGGAGCCTCATTATCGTTTAAAGTTTAAGAAGCATAAAACGGCATATTTTCAATCGGGAAAATTCTTTTTAAAAATGTAATTCATGTATTAACAGCTTGTGAAGTTTGTTCGTAAATATGTGTTTCCTTTTATTTGCTCTATTTAGGTGAGGACTTAGTGAAGGAAATACTCAAAGAGCACGCAGAAGCTGAATCGCAGGAACAAAGGGAACTTACGCTAAAACAGGTGAAAGTGAAAACGGAACGTCAAGAGGTTAATGCGAATGGGATAGAAGTGACCATTAAGCAAGAACCGGTCGATACCTTGATAAAACAAGAAGTTAAAGAGGTAAACTTCCATTTGACGGTCCAAAAACATATGTGATTGATTCTGTTGTTATTGTGTGTTGATCAAGTTTGATAAGTTAACATCGATCTCGCGATAAGATCTCGGTCCCGAGATACGTCTGGTTGCCGGGAAATACTTTATTTATAAAATTCCGTTACAAAAAGAAATATTCAAGTGCCGCAACGATCAGTTATAAGTTTGATTTACAAGCTTTTATTTAACTTGATTTGTTTGTTAGTAAGTTAGTGTGTTAGTCTGTTAGTAGTAGAGACACCAACAGGTGCTTCTTTCTGGGCACAAGATTTTCAAATTTACGGAATGGGAGGCCATAAGGTTCTGTTCTAGGGCCCCTCTTGTTCTTGATATACAGGGTGACTTCGAAGTTAAGTCATTTATTTTAACAGTGAGTAGATCTGATCAAAAGAAATGTTTTTTTTCCTTTAACATTTTTCTGGTAAAATTAAAGTTATAGCCGTTTAGAAGTTTGAGTACCGCCCTGTCTCAATAATAATATTATGTGCTCGTGTTTGGCAACAACGGATATAATCCGCCTTATCGGTTCATCGCATCGGAAACAAAAAAGCGAAAGAAAATGCTGCCGCGGCATCACGGATTTATGCGGATCGGTTTCCCAATCGAGTGCAACCAACCCCTCGTGCCTTTGGTAATGTAGTACAAAGGGCTCGTGAATCAGGTGACTTAAGACCTCGCAGGGGAGGGTATGCCGGTGCTCCAAGACCGCACGATCAAATACAGGTCCGCACTGAAATACTTGTCGGGATGATACTTTACAAAACAAGGTAACATTTTTTTTTTATTTTTACACACACATATTTTGATTTATCTTCCTTCTACAACCATTATCTGAAAATTAATGACTCAACTTCAAAGTCACCCTGTATACATTCGATTTGGTCGTCAAAATTAAAAACTCGAGTGTAACTTGTTATGCCGATGATACTAAATTATTGTTAAGCTTTGCCCCTGTAATTTTAAAATGGCTGAAGCTAAAATTAATATTGAACTCAAAAGTATTAATAACTAATGTGGTGGACAATTGCTTTGCAACATGGAAAATTTTACCCAAATTCAAATGTCGATTTTTTTCCGAGAGGAAAGAGATATCGAGTTTCGTTATTCGGGAGGTTCTTGACTAACTCTTTGGGAACACGTAGATCGGTGTATCTTTTATTTATCCACTTACATAAGGTGAGCAAAGGAAGTCATGTTTTTTCAGCAAAGTTTGGGACTGTCAGATTCTTAATTTTTGATCTTGGAAATTGTTCTATGCATCTTTTCGATCTTTGGACTATCCTAAAAAAGTGATTTCTCAAATTTTTCGAAAGTTGGCTATAACTCAAATTATTGAATTTTAAAAAAGTGTTACATTTATCCCTAAAAAAGGACTTTTCGGGGGTTTCTCTTGCGGACGGGTATTTTTTTCTCATACTGTCGCATAAAGTGGAATTTCTTGCGCCCGAGAAAGGATTGTAGCACTCATTGAACGTTAGCCTCCAGTGGCGTTCTGTAAAAATTTGCTACTTTGACATGTAATTTAAACCGAATTTATAAATTTTACTATGCAATCAAAGCTTAATGAACAAATTCAAGTTCTACTCCTAATATAGGGATGTATTCCAGTGGCGTAACACCAAAAGTATTTTTTGGTTTGGTAAGAAGTGCTAATAACTTGGAAATTTTATTTTTAAAAATGCTATGATGCTGGCCAACACTGCGATTCATCTTTTATCTGGAATTTCTTATCTTACTCATTTTAATCATAACATGATCCTTGCTTAGATCAAAAGTCCGCCTACAGACTACAGAAAATTCAAATTTCATTTGCCATTTAACAAATAATCTTAGGAAATATGATGTTGTAACTGGCCCAGTCAAATTTGTAATGCGACTTTCATCTGTATAAAGAATTTTATAAGAAAAAGTGTTGTCCACTTGTTTTTTTTTTCAGCTTCATAAAGACCCACGTGTAAGACCAGTATTTATGCTTACGTAAAATTATCCGCACGGAATTTTTAGATATTTGACACAATTTCTCTAGTTGAAGCATTTATATGAATCTTTACACAGGCCAAAACATCGATTTCTTTGTCCTCGTTCACAATAAAATTATCATTTTCTGCCACTTCATTAGGCTCGCATTTTTAAAACCAATTTTGGGGGCGTTAGATGACGACGATCGGTGAATCTTTCTGCATACATTCTAGCAGCTTGTACGGCATTTTATCTGCATTTTTTGCGTGGTTAATTATTAAACTACGAAAAACAGGCAGAAAGTAACGTAATAATATATTAATTTCTTAATAAGTTATTTGGAAATCTGACAAAATCATGACAACACCGATCATTGTTTTTCCTAAGCCACCTTAGTTTTCTGTCAACGCTGCCGATGCCGGCTACGCTCCGGCTGGTTGTTGCTGTTATGGCAAAATGAATAATAAGGTAATTAATGTGGATTTTTCTGATATACTTTTTACCTAAAATATCGTTAATATGATATCAATTTGTAGGTAAAAAATACTCTTTATCTGTGCTAGTGAACCAGCATCGGTCCATTTGAAAAAATTTACTTACGACCATAAATACGATTTTGCAAACTTTTAACGAGTCTGAAGAGTCTAGAAACAACAAAATACAATCAAATCTATTTTTCTCTGACTGCTTAGTCTAAAATTTACCATTTTATCATATTCATGGCACACTGGATTGAAAATTAAAAATTACAAATATTTGTAAGTTAGATGTCAAAAGGTAGCAAATGCAATGTCATTTTCTTTTCAAATAAGCAAAAATATACCGGGTGTCTCATTTAAACTAACAAAGTTAAAGTCATTCCCGGTTAAACCGAAGGTGAAAGGAGACAATTGAATACGTCACATAGTGCATATTTATGTGATATATCTACATATTTAATTTCATTTTTGTATCTTTAAAAATAACAAAGTTATAGGGGCTATCCACCTGTTAGGTATATACACGGTGTGGCGTATAGAGTAGATAACCTTTAACCTGCAGTTAGAGGACATCCCTTCGATTCAAAAAATTGAAAATTGTGTCTAGTGAAAGTTGCACGATTTTCCATGTTTGTGATGTTTTTCAAATTTGGAGTAAATGGGCACCTTCACTTACTGTTTTAAGTCTCGTGATAACACATTCTTTTTTCAATATTGTATTCTTGGATATATATGTCATAAAATATAAATTGCCATATTCGTGCTACATGTTTAATTGCTATTTTAAAAAATCATTAAAAGTCCAAGTTTGACCACGTGTGATGTCAATCATACCTGTTGCGGTAACCAATACACCGTATTTCCTGCTGTCAATTCAAAGGATACTCCTAAGGTTAGCTAAGACTCCTATGTCTTCAAATAGAATTTTTACTTAAATAATAAATATGGAGAAATCACATTTGCCTAGCTACTCGTTTGTTTTTGTTTGATGTCATAGTGACAGATCAAGTGACAAGATTGCTTAATAGCCTCACCGCACGCACTGTCCAAGAGAGTATTCTCAAATGCATTCTATTTAATGTGACTGTGGTGGTAATGCCAATCAAGCCGCAGCTCTTTATCGGGAAAGGTACCCTAACGCTCGCCATTACGATTACATATAGAGTTTTCATTCGTGTGCATAATGCATACACGGAAGGCCGAATTCCCGGAACTGGTGTGGGCGGTACTAGCTCTGGGAGATCGTCGCTACATGATGAAGATACCGTGTTGGAGGAGATTGCCGCTGATCCAACAACGTCGCAACACGCAATCTTGTACAGTTTAATGCACAGTACTGTACCTTATCGAACAAAAAGCGTCCTAGCTGAGTTCTGCCAAAGTTCGCCAAGTACCTGATGTAGCACGAATCCATCTTGTCAATAGCGTTAGCTGCTAGGAAAAAGCTAGGCTATTCGTTTAGGGCTAAGAAGTGATTATCTCCGCATGACCTCATTCTATACAAGGCTCAAATAAGGCCTAGCTTCGAGTATTGCTCACACGTTTGGGGTGCTGCCGCCCCGACTACATTATTTATGCTCGATGCTGTCCAGAGGAGGGCTGTCCGAGTGATCGATGACTTTTCTCTAACAGACACTCTGGGGATCCTACGGGCTTTGCTCCTCAGAGCTCTCTTCCATGATGCCGCCGCGCGATGTGCCCCCGGACAGACCCGCCTGACTTGGCCTCCCTTCCTAACCGTGTCGAATTTCGTACATCCAGAACTGGCCGATGCGACCGTTCCTTTATCCCGAGGGTGTCGATATTGTGGAACAATGTACAGGAGGAAGCTTTTCCCAGTTCTACTAACTGTATGCAGTTCAAAAATCGGATTAACAAAATTTATTTTGGATCATCGTAGCAACCGCGGTGTCCCGGCATTTAGGCTTCTGCCTGCGCGGCTGGTTCCGTATAAAACCAAACGTCAGTGCGAGTCATATCGCGACGAACGGGCATCCCTACAAGGACAAAATCTACTTCCACGAGACTATCCAGTAAGATTTGCGTTTTTTTTTGTGTGGACATGTTACGGAGAATAAGAGCCAATCCGGATTTTTTCGACCAGATCTTGTCTATTGACGAGTCAGCTTGTACAAAATATGGATATGTAACTATGCATATTTTACACAGTTGGCAGCTCATCAATCCCCATTTAGTAAAAGAAGATAGGTCCCAATATCAATTTAAAATAAATCTTTGGACTGGAATTTTAAACGGACAAATTATAGGGCCATTTGAATTACCATCGACGTTGACTGCAAAGAGCTACTTAAGTTTTTTAAGTAATGATCTACTGACATGAGTTGAAAATGTTCGAGAGTATCTCAACCAAATGTATCCCGGAGGTGGATCGGGCGCTTGGGACCAAGTTTGTGGCAACCAAGGTCACCAGACCTTAACCCTATTGACTTTTTTTTACTGGGATTGTCTAAAGGAGAAGGTCTACAAGAAGCCCATTACTTCAGTGGAAGAGCTAAGTGCGCGGTTACAAACAGCTGCAAGAGAAGTCAGCGAAGCCAGATACATGCGCAAAATCAAACATCCATTTATAAGAAGATGCAGAGCATGTAGATGGGATGACGGCTGCTGTACTTAAAAACTGCAATGGCAATTTATATTTAATGACACATGTATCCAAGAATAGTTATGCTGAAAAAAGAATGTGTTATCACGAGGCTTGAAACAGTGAGTGAAGGTGCCATGCCTATTTCCTTCAAATTTGAAAAACGTCACAAAAATTTAAAACTGTGCAACTTTTACTACACACAATTTTGAATTTTTTGAATCGTTATCACGTCCTCTAACTGCAGGTTGAATGTTATCCACTTTTTACGTCACACTGTTTATGTAATTTGGGCTTTTTTTTCACCAATATTTCAAAATATTAGTCGAGTAGGTTGACCAATGGCTAGACTCCGCCATTTTCTGTCGATAAGTTTATTAAAGTATTGTTTTGAGCAAATCATCTGGGACTTGGGACTTTTTGATGTTATTGAAAGTTTAAATATTTAGCGTTATTAGTTTGTTATAAACTTGTTTATGCAACAAAGTAATCACAGAACGAAAGAAATTTTAGAAAAATGTTACATGACACCTTTATAAACTTGTATCTAAGTTTGTAATTTTTTCATTTGATTCTGTCTTGTTGCCCATCTACGTTGATGTACTATAATATTTGCTACAGTCTGGTATAACACGTTTAACAGAATCACTTTTTTCAGCAGGATCCTGCTTCGACCACTGCCTGCGATATGGATGATCCTCTGATGGTGCTCCACCCTATAGCAGCGGTCCAGTCAGCCGACAGAGAAAAGCAGTGGTGGCGCAAATCTCTTTTCTCTAGCGCAGGAGCCTACCGGAGGGCTCTTTCAGCCAGAAGGGACCTGTTGTTCAGAAGACATCTATGCAACCTACCCCACAACGATACTTACGCAGAGCCGCCCAAAAGACACGATCCCGAATTGCTGCAGGTTGCTACAAGACTGTTCGAAAGGTGTTTGTAGCTCAAAATGAAAAAAACCACTAGACGGCTTGTCTGCCGTCCATGTAAATCTTTCCATCCAGACATTTTTTCTACAGCACGCGAACAATATCATAATAGTTCGAAAGGGCATGTGTACAGTCGTTTAACTAAGAATAAAGTTGAACATTGTATTTTCTGAACTGTTGGTAGCTCATCAAACATCGAGTCAGTAGTTTATCTCGGCGTCGTTTTCTAGCTACTCATATATCACTTTAAAAAATTGACAGTTCTTTTCAACTACGAGCCCTGTCTCAGTGAAGTTGGACCTACTATCAGAACTATGTTTTTTTTATGAAATTTGTCATATTAATATGAAAAACTAAAATGGATTTCTCATAACATACGCTATTTTCATTTAATAGTAGCCTAAAATACTACATTTTTATAACAAAGAAAAAATGTCTTAGAAATTCAAAAAACTGCCGATTAATAATCATCAACGAAACCAAATAGCAGCAAATTACCACTGTCTTACATTGTATTACTATTGGCAGTCATCTGGTGTAAAACTGCTCAAAATTTATTGGAGACGGGTTTGCAATTGAGGCGTCTGGAATAAAATGGCTATAAGTACCATTAGCAAGTAAGTAGTTAGTATTGTTTATTTTTTCAAAAAGATACTTGTACCCATTTTATCCTAAACTGTTTTTGGTCCAAGTTAGAAACATTCCACAAAATTAGACTTGAAAAATTATGTATTTAACATAAGAAACTAGTAATATTCTTACAATGTACATAGAAGTGAATATCATAAATCCAACTACTTAAGGCGGCTCCGACGCAGTGAGTTTCAGGCCATTTACAAGGGTTTAGCTGCTTCGGAATTGACGCTCCATTTTTCTATATATTTGAATAAAATTTATACAGTGTATTCAGAAGACAATTGTCCAGGGTGCTATAGAGCCACTTTTCAAAAAAAATTTTTTTTTCACGAGTTATGGTGGGTGGAAATGCAGATAATTGTTGTTCGACTTCTCGATTTTTTTAAAAATAACCCAGAGGAAAAAACGAAAAAGTGGTCTATAGCACCCTGTGGAGTCTTGTTTTTAGTGCCCTGTGAAAATTTCATTGGAAAATATTCAAAAATGAAAAGTCAATTTTGAAACGCGAAAACCTCTGCAAATAGGCTTTTACACGAATTTTATCCACTATCTCGTGCTGCCAGTCGAAGCAACGCGGCGGTGTGTACGGACTAAGAAAGGACGTATTCAGATAATTTGTTGTCCCAAGTTAAACAGTAGCAGTTTTGACGTCGGTCGTTCGAGATAAACATCGGACCAGTAAGTGACATTTTTAATAGACTTCAATGAAAGAGGGGAAATTTTTATTCGATTTTGATCATTTCTTTTTATACAATAGGCCATGCTTCAGAGGTGATACCACAAAAAATCATTTTTGTTCAATCACCCCAATATGGATATAATATGGAAGCACTTGTACAAAACAGTAATACGAAAACAGTTTCAAATCAAGATGGCGGCCCTCACAAAATGGCGGATAACATCTAATATCTCAAATAAGAGTCGTCGCCTTGTAGAATACAGTACTTCACTAAAAATTTGATTCCAAGATTGCCGCCGTTTCGAAATTGCGAGTTACATATTTTTATACAAAACCCCCAATTTACATGTCAAATGAAAAGACTTGACATGTGTGGTAAAATACAGAGCTTTGTGACTAAAAGTTTCCAGGTGGTTCAAGGGTCATTGGAGGCGGTAATCTTTTTAGTTAAAAATAATAATTATAGTGAACGCATTTAACACAAATAAAATGTCACTTGCTGTTTAGCTTTAACCTTATGAAGTATCGTAAAATAAACTTAACACGATAAGCGTCATGAGATATAATGCGTGTGTCGCACCTCATTTGGCGCTTTGGGCCTCGTCACACACTTGATATGTCTCACTGCTGGCAGTTATATTTGGCCGCGTAACGTAAGACGTGTGCCGTGCTGATGTGATTTTCTTACGGGAACCAAGAGTCCGTGGCCTGAGGGACCAAATTATACTGAATTGGAAATGAAAACATTAAAAAACACGTTATTTATAGAGTTTTACAAAAAGAGGATATTCTACAAATCTGAAACAAAAAGCAAATCTTATAAAATAATCAGACATTTTCATTCAAAAATGAACAAAGTAATTTCACAGCAAATCACTAAGTTATGGTAAATGTCGATATTCTAACGAACACAAATCCATATAGGAACTCTTATAAACTAAACAGATTGACAAAGTCTTATGCAGGAATAAACAAAATACCGGTATAAATAAACAGTAATATAGATAAATATGGAATTACTACAACTACTATCTGATTCACTACCACTTGGAGAATACGCATCATAAGTATACATCCCCACATAACTCAGTACTGCCACTCTCTTCATCCGATAGTATTTCATTACACAATTGTTCAAGCCTTTTTTGCTCCGCTTCGTAATGCGACATCACTAAATTTGGTATTCAATAATTTATAAACAATAAAGCAATTTGGACAAGATGACGTACAATACCAACAACGCTTCAATAATAAATGACACGAAACAGTGCTCAACGCGCGACATGATGCAAGTCTTGACTGACAAAAAACGCGACGCGACTTATGTGCCACGTGACCCGAATGGTCTGTGGGCCACGCGACATACAACTAGTACCTCAGAAAAAAAAATCAAAAAAGGGGAAAAATCATAGGATTTGAGAAAAGTCAAGTCAAAATATTAAACCGAAACTTAAAACAAGCTAATTTGACAATAAGAACAGTATGGCCCAGTGGACTGGATTCTACTGTGGCGCTTAACGTGTCAATGTGACATTTCAATATTCGCCATCTAACAGACTAGATAAAGCTAGCCGATGCTACATGCTATTGAGCCTGACGATTGACTTTTATTTAAATAAACAATATATACATAATGTACAATAAATAGTAAACATCTGGTACTAGTACCAAAATGGAAGAGATTAGCATAACATCTCGCACATCGCTGCTAAAGCGAGATCTGTACACCGCATTTGCCGACACGAAGGGGTTAGTAACGGCGTACAATGTAATATGCTAATCTCTTCCATTTTGGTAACCGAGTACACCAAAAATAGCCAATTCTCAAGAACTCTTTTTCTTGTTCAAACGGTTCTCTTGTACCTTCAAGATCACATCGGGATCGCGGATTGGCATATTTCTGCTTTTCCTGGGATCGACCAGTTCTGGGAGCAAGTAGTTCATGTAGAAGAATTTCAATTTCTCTTCCATTTCATTTTTCCAGAAAACGTCATCCTTTTGAATGACGTCTATTTTCAAACCATACCGGGTCCAAACACCAAGCACACAGTACTCTCTTTGTGCAACGTGGAGCTGCCCTTGAATTTGGTAATACCACTTATGTTTTTTATTTATTGCATCGTTTATCCAAAACGTATTTTTTTTGTTCAGAATGCCCTCTTCAGGGGTCATTTCTCTAGCCGACCATGGACATTTAATTTCTAGCAGACCTTTTTCGCCCATCAAACCATCTGGCGATGCTGCCAGAAATGGATGGGTACTATCAATAAACAACCCGCAAGATTGTACTTCTGATTGCGAATATGATTTCTCTATTTCTGCTTTTGCCACGCTTTCATGCTTTTTTTCCATAGTCACATGCATTGCTAAAGAATTCGGTTGGGTATATTATGGCGTTTACTAGAGCTCTGCAACTTGTTGTATCTCTTCTTCTACAAATCTCACCAAACCGAGACGCAGTCAACCTCATTCTTCGATGAAGACGCCACAAATTGCAATCCTGAGATTTTGTGGCTTGCTCGATCTGGGAAAATTCGGGGTCAGTTTTTGCAAGTTTTTTCAAGAATTCTACCTTGGCAGCCTCTATCTCTTCGTTGCTCCTGTCAGGCTTCTCACAGAATTCCCCATAGGATGCGTTCTCTTTAGTATCACTATCTCTGATTTTAATTTTCCTTGGTTTCAGCTTCCTTTTCAGATTTTTGTGAGCTCTCCTTTCTTCAACTTTAGCAATCAAAGAGCTTGGACTGAAACTAGGGAGTAGCCGCTTTTGGATCACACAAACAGGCCGCTGTGTATTCTGGCTCACTACGGCTGCAGCACATCTTCCTTGGTAGGATCTCGTCTTGCAATAATTAATCCGTTTACCCCCAATGAATTTAGCTATGATTGAGTTAAACTGCTCTACAATATTATTATCGACGTCATGAAGTAAACTTACTGCATTTTTAATCAGAATTGCCAGAAATGATATCAGCCTCTGGTGCAAATCTAAAAAAAAAGGGTATACACACCTGAATTTGAAGATCCATGCCATCTGTCTCTGTTCTCTAACAGAGACACATTCTCTAATGCATATGCGAAACCTTGCTGTCATTTTTAAGCTAAAATAACATATAAAATATAGTTATAATAGTAACTTCTACGTATAGTCTAATTTATTGGCAAAATGAATGCTAAAATTCATAATTGTTTTGGTACCTACCTTTCTAACTGGAAAACGTTTTTTTTCCTGTGCGTATTTAAATGCGGCTTCTTCGAGACGCCACGATTATTTCTCATATTGTTCATTTTTGATACCTTGATAAGAAAGACACTCAACAATAACAACACAACAATAACAACACAACAATAACAACACGATAATACAACAATACAATAACGGTAATAAGAGTAATAAGGGCTGGGTATACTATGCGCCAAAATAGGGAAACAGTCGTACGCTAGATCGTATATCCAAATCAAATTCGACTCTGTGCAATATGCAAATTCAACCAGGCACGCGAACAGCACACCTCTGCGTATTACTATCCTTTTCTAACGTAGAGCGCTTGCCTTGTCACAACGCCGTCCTACTAGGGTTTCCCTATCCCCTATCACCCCCCCCCCCTCAGAAACTCTGCTTGATTGTGAGAGCGCCGTTAACTATTCATCATCGGAATACACTATAATAAGAAATCCTCATCCTCGGAATTTTCGCCATTCTCTCCTTCCCCAAATTCTGATAACTGTACTTCTTCTGGCTTCTCGATCGATTTTTTGCTGTTTCCACTTTTGCTAGCTGTATTAGTTTTACCCTTTTTTCCTTCATTTTTTCCATTTGCTTTTCTTTCATATTGCATATTGTTATAAAATTCATGGTATAATGGGGGAACATAATCAAGCAGAGATTGCAAGTTCTTCCACTTCGGCTCTTTTATTTTCACACTACCATCATTCAACACTGAAAATGTATTTTGAAAGCTTAAATTTGGCGCGCCGTTGCTTTGGAAGGACACCTACATGTAGAAAAGGGGAATATTTGATCCGATGTAGATTTGTATTGAAACGAAAATGTCTTGGAATAAAAGAAGTACTGAATTTCTCTCCACTTAATAGCGTGGTTATCTATGTCTTTCTTTAGATGACTAAGGCTACGGTTATAGTGGATGCGTGTTCTGACGAACTATCGTTTTGACGAACCCGTCATAATTGTTGGTCAGATGTTGGTGGTTATAGTGCATGCATAAGTTCTAGTTTGTACAGATATTTAAAGATGGATGACAATGAGAATTTATCATACGAGTGGCAATTTTTAGAAAGCC